CTTTAATTCAAGGAGACAAGTGAGACCGCCTCAACTGTTTCATACTTAGCTCTCTACATTAAGATTCAAAAACACCTCTGCACAAGGGTCTCTAACAAAAGGGATGATTTCAACTTTCCAATAGTCAACTTTCCTTTCACATCAAGCAATATTCCAACAGCTCCAGCCTTTGGTGTTCATATTTCACAATTTTTTGAGGCAATCGAGCTTGCTCTTTTTACCAAGATTTTATGCGACTGAGAAGTTGTTCAATCAAGGTACAGCATTCAAGGTATCCTTAAACCTTTCAAAATTCATAGGTAGACACGTGAAGGACATTTTCAAATTGAATGCATTATGAAATATGATGTTTTATGGATTTTTGCCTAGAGTGACCTATATCATATGTTCCCGATTTGTTTCAAGCGCACCGTTGACTAGCCTTTGCACATGTTCATGATACGTACACACACACTTGTAGCACAAGCACACATGTGCCTTTGTGGACCAAATAATAGGAGGATCTAAGCACAAAAGTCTCGACACTTCTTTTGTGATGAACTAAGGATAACTTTTCGATGATTTAATAGGTTTTCCTGTTTGTGCACAGTTCGATGAGAGAACATTCTCTCATCTGCACATTACAAATACCATATTGCGCAAGTGTGCCCTTGTTACAGGACAAGTGTCCTGGAGAATGCAAAGGGTCTATTCATTTGAAACCTTATTCAAGACGTCTCTGATCTTTCGCAATAGCTATGACTTGTTCATCAACGTACCATTATTCACCTGCCCACGTTATCACCGTACAATATAACTATTGCCCTGATAGCCCGACTTGCTTTTCGAGTGGGCTTATAAGTAGAGTTGTTCAAGCATGACCAGTCTGTATTCCGACTCACTATCGACCCGCCATGTTGAGTGTAATATGAAGCCAGTGATCTGTTTTAGGTATGTGGTGGAGGATGGGTGTGCTTTTAAGCTGTGTACCAGGCGTCCAAGGGAAATTAATGTCTGTTTACCTGTTACTTATGCATCAGCTCGGTACGAAAGTTAGAACTTGTCACTACAACAGAACTGATCAGGTTACGATTCTGTTTTCAAACCACCGACACGTTTCCGCCCAGTGAAACACGATTTTACTATCTCCGACGGTTTCCGTGGTTATGCGAAGCCAAATACAACACCCATGTAACATTTATAAATGACCTGTCAACAACCAACACGGCTATTTAGAAGACATAGTTACTGTTTACTTTGTCATCAACATATTATGTTTAGTGGAGTACTGAAAATTCCATAGGTCCATAGTACCTATATACATACCATAGTAGTGGGTACAATAGAAATAAACATATCTAAATATAATAGCACGTCTATAATGCAAGGTAATGTATGGCTTTTTTATTTTGAGAAGAGTGAGTGAGTGAGTTATTATTTACAGTCACATCGGCTATATTCAGCCCTATAGTGACTAAATCAAGTTATAGGTTAATAATAATTAAAGGTAAAATATATAAAAAAACTATCAACGAAGGACAGTAAAATAACTAGAATATCACAGTTATAAATGTAAAACTAGTTATTAAATCTAGAATAATTAACTATAGAGGACAATACAATATAAAAACAGGCTATAGATTGTGTTGCGTATCTCTTACATTCAGAGTGAGTGAGTGAGTTAAAATTTTATGTCACATGGCAGTATTTCAGCTATATTGTGACTATATCAAGTTATCTATTTCTAATAATAATAGGTAAATGATAAAAAAAAATGTCAACGATGGACAGTAAAACAACTAGTGTATCACAGATATAAATTTGAAAACTAGTAATTAATTTTAAAACATTTTAACTATCCAAGACGGTACAATATAAAAATAGGCTATAGATTGCCAACAACTGAAGGTAGATCACCATACTAGGGACCATGGGGACTTACAGTACATTTGCTTCCTGCATGGACCCTAGCTGGATTTACGGCCATCCTTTCAGCTATTAGCAATTTTGGACAATCTAGTCTATATTAAAATAACACATATGCTGCGGTTAAAATTAGTAGTACGTTTAAATTTACTATAATTGTCTTGGAACTCACGTATCCTCTCAGGAGTACAATAATTGATTTTGAGAAGAAATGGGGATATAGAATTTGTCTATTCGAGGATTCAGACGTAGGTTTTTCCTCGTGTATCCGTTTCTGATGTTTGCAGAGTAGGACCAAACAGGCCAATAATTGTATTTGTTTTCAATCTCATTTCACACATCCGGTTTTCCATTTATATTCAGAAATGTCTTTTTTTTCATCAGAAGATCACGAGAACTACATGTGAAACGGGACAGTTCTGTTACAAATTTTATGACATTTTTCAGTAATAATGAATGATTTAAAACAGTTATGATTTAGCTTTCTATGTTTAAAAATACATATATTGTAGCCTTTGTCTTAGATTATATATGAAATGATCTCATCCTGTTACATGTTGTTCTCACTAGAAGTAATAATACAAGCAAAATAGGCGTATATTCAAGACATACGAGACCCAGTTATCTTCACCTTTTCTATTGTATTACTTTGATGTAACTAAATATAAATACGACATCTCCCACATTCCACATGAGCTGGAGACATTTTGACAAAAGTGCTGAAATTTAAAAGTAAACATCAACCATCTCTATTGTGTCGTTTCCTAGACCCCCTTAATTCAGCATTATAATGTGTCAAAACTAATGATTCCATTGGAATAATTTCCATACGTTTTGTGAAACAGCAATTAGAAACTCTTGGGCTTGCGGTGTGTCTTTGTTGTAATGCAGTGACTGTTTACCACCACAGTTTCTTCACGTTTATAGAACCAGATCTCTCGTTCTGATAATTTCCCTCCGTTTGTAATAATTATAACCTTTATCTTATTGATATTGACATTCACTTTCCATAATTGATATTTCCACAAACCTTTACAGCATGATAATTTACCAATTAGAGACAGATACAAACCTACATACATACCCAACCACATACATAAACACGCATACACAAATTGTGCACTTGTTGTACAACACGAATTACTGTGTAGTATTTATGCCTGATACGCCTCTGTGCTTCTATCTCATCAAAAGAACATGCCCAAAATATGAAACGTCTGTTTATAATACTAGACAGTAAGGTAAACTCTTACTGAAAACACGCATAAGAGTTATATCCCTATGGCTGTTGATGTTCCTGTTTGTGTAAGGACATTACAATCCCCAAAGTTCACTGTTCTGGAACATAGGACTTTTCAAGCATAACATTCAAAAGCATTTCAAGATAGTGGAGGAGAATTTCGTATGAATATTTAAGTACTTCAGAAAATGAATCTTCCTTCGCTGCTTGGGGCGGTGGGGGTAGCCTAGTGGCTAAAGCGTTCGCTCGTCATGCCGAAGGCCCGGGTTCGATTCCCCACATGGGTGCAATGTGTGAAGCCCATTTAAGGTGTCCCCCGCCGTGATAATGCTGGAAAATTGCTACTAGCGGCGTAAAACTAAACTCACTTACTCCCTTCGCTGCTTGATTTGTTTTTAAATTTGCAATGCTTTCAGAATTTTCATTCCTTGTTACAGGTGAATCAAGAATATCTGAAGTTTTCTGGAAAAACGATCAAATGCCTTGAATTTGCAAGTGACATTTGTATTTTCTGGATGTCGGTAGACGTTTTGTTAAACCAATCCTCCATTACAATTACATTTTCACCCTTTATATGTGCTTCAAAAATGTTTAGAATCACGTAATGTTTGTGCACATTGTTTTACCACATCCGAACTTTTTACATGGTTATATGAATTGAAACACATCACCCATATCCATGTAACATGTATGGTCTGTCAACAACCAACCTGGTTATCATCAAGACACAGAATAGTGGCTATGCGTAGTGACTCTTAAGTATCGGAACATGATGAATGATTTCGTAGACAGTAGGAAAGATATGCAGTTCCTTGTGTTTCTGACGTGTGCCACAGGTTCTGCAGGATACGCTCACCTCTTCCCGAACACCTGGTGTCTTGGTGTCTTCACTATTCAATAGGGTGGGTGGGGTAGCTAAGTTGTTAAAGGGTCCATTGAAAAACAACGGGTAGGCTGACCACATGATCATGATGCGCTATTTCTAGAGTTCCCAGCTTGATATTGTTTGAATGATGCTGAATGCTCTATATCCTACTCACACTCAATTTATGTTGCATTCGAATTCGTACAAGAAATTCTGCTTATGGAAAAGAGTTTTTATGGGCTGAGATTTTAGTCTGTTGTAGTTTTGCTGATTGTGTCTATAAAAACTGTCGCCACGTGTGCACAAATGATTAACTCATGTTTTAGAGGTAACAAGATATCACATGTTCCTAACACGGGCCAAGGCTACAAATGTTTATTAAGCACTATCTCACCATAAAAATAGCATACCAACGTAATTGTAACCGTGCCAACAGCACCCGCGCCTTCATTTTTCATTACAAATGATTCGCGAAATCGTGAGGTTCCTTGTATTTGTGACGGGGCCATCAATACGTCACTTTTATGAACACCTGGTGTCATTACCTTTGATTGTTATCCAAAGACAAATGCTTATGATATATTCGAAGTCACACTTCAGAGATTATTTATGATTATGGAAAAAATACTATTTCTACCGTTTTGGTGTGGTTCCTGCTTATTCTTCCAGTCACTGATTTGTCTGGTCGAAACTCGGACATTTACAGACCGCATAATTGATCAGGAATACTTTAACTTATAACACCACTCACTCACTTCATTCTCTTCACATCACCTGCAGCCTGTCACTGGATTGTCTGGTCCAGACTCGATTATTTACAGACCGCCTCCATATCGCTGGAATATTGCTGAGTGCAGGGTAAAACTCAACTCACTCACCCACTAATTCCTTCAGCCTGTATTCAGCAGAGGAATCTCGCATGTAAATGCATTGAGATAAACATGTGCAGGACAAATTGAATGTTTAAAACTGCTTGCTTGTTTCATGTAGATGCAGTGTGCTATGAAACCCTGAATGCAACGGACATCCCCCAGATTTTCACCTCGCCAGGATACCCCTTGAAATATGCTGCGTGAGTACATTGTATGTCAAATACCCATCGATAATAACTTGTACCAGTACCTGGAAATGGACAATATAAAATGTGTACGAGATTCATATATTTATAGATAGAAAATGTTATCGTTAATTGGGCACATTGAGAAAGGAGATTCTGAACCAGGAGACAAACTAGACTTCAGTCATTAAGGGCTTAACCATTGTAGAAAGGGTTGGGCGGAAGGGGAAATATTATAGTTCACGGACTGTGACTGTGGAACATACCGCGTTGCAACATAATAGGATACTGTCAAAAAGGCGACTGAAGGTATTTCAGTCACTCACTCACTCCTTCTATGTCACACATACAAGCATATTAATATCCTGACCTGTATGCGTGCGCACAGCAGGCAAGCACGGATTGCACATGTAAGAGATAACAATCAATCAATCAATCAATCGATTTTATTCCGTATTTTAGGCCACATGGCCCATAGTACAATTGTATTGTATGGTATGCAATATTTGTAACATGACCAAAATTATATTGTTAGCAAATATTATATTTTAGTTTCTATGTTAAACGTAGTATATTTACATCAGGTGTAATATTTGTTGTCATGTTAATCTAGTTTTACAGTATTTTGATGGACAAGAAGTATTCATTACAGAGAAGAAAATATCTGTTACAAATAAAGAAATACATTTTCTGCATTATTCATATCACAATGCAAACAAGTAGATTCTATATCGAAATTATCATTGACCTCCTTTGTACGTTGTCGATTAACTCAATCATGAACAGATGTACGAAATTTACACATCGTTTCACATAAGTTCTTTATACTAGAATAGCGTGACAAAGATGATGACTCGTTTTGAAGATCAAATGACTACACTACGTCTTGACGCTGCGACATGGAACATCGCCACTGAAACAATCCACGCTAGAGATTTACTTTCTTCTGCTGCCAGGCGTCTGAATGTTAGTCTGAGCACGATATGACGATTTCCAGCTCCTTACTACCAAACAGGTATAACAAATGACCGTCCGCGTACAGGCAGACCTTAGGTCACCACTGCAGCCCAGGATCGGTACATCCGGGTACTACATTTGCGTGATCGTACTGCCACGGGTTAATTGCACAGCAGCCAGGGTGCCTGGGCTTCGGAGGATATCCGGTCAAACTGTACGGAACAGGTTGAGAAAGATTGGACTGAGAGCCAGGAGCCCCGACGTCGGGACCGTGCTACGTCGTCACAATCGCATTCAACGAGTCCGTTATCTAACAGTATGCCCTTGGTTGTATAGACATTACCTTCTTCTAAACTGATGTAAATATTCATGTACCAAAGTCTATTTGTGGACGAGTTAGACATGTTTGAAAATACAACATTTTCGCAACAGATTTCTTGGTTACGCGTTTCATTTTTTGATAGTATACATAAGCAAGTCTAAAACACATAACAAGGCTGATGTTTTACCTGGAAAGGTTATTCTAAGCTTACGCTTATGTAAGATATCAAGAAAAACGAATAAACATGCTTCAGGTGAGAAATACTAAATAAATGTGTCCCGTGCATTATTAGCGAAATAAGCACTCATTTGAAGGAAAAGGTTCTATCGTGAAGATCGTTTCTGGCTTTGCGATGTGCATAATTTAAGAAAAATAGTAAAACTTTCGAAAATGGTATGGGAAATTAATTATTTTAACTTTTGGACGTTTTGGATTTATGATAACTAAAATATATACGTTAGCCTAAACACATAAAAAAGCTGATTTTATATATAAACCTTTTCTTGAAAGGTTATTCTGAGCTTAAACTTAATATATTTCAGATAGATCAGACCCAATCTGATTTTCCTGAGAAATGTGGATACAAAACAATACCAAGAAGTATGCTCATACATAACTGTGACATGCATGGAGGATAAGTTATTATCTGCGGGTGTGTGTCATTCTGATTTTGTTACATTTAGTGTACTTATTTGACTTGCAAATTTAGTGTACTTATGCTAAAATCAAAGCAACATTGATATGGTCCCCAGACGTCAGATTACGTTTTGTGAAGTGTAATGACACACGATGTGGTAAGTTGGCGCAGCTGCAAGTTAAAGTAAAGGTATATCGCAATGATAATGTATGATTCACTATGTAGTATTTCGTAATACCAAAACACGGTCGTCTCAGTGATATAGTGTGTATTGAATAAAGGAGTAACCCTAATCCGGTCGCAATGTTTCTCAAGTGCTCTGTCAATTTGCACGTGAACGTTTGTTCAAATGCTGACAGTGTGTTGACCATGATGCATTCATCAATATTTCTACAAGTACGTTCTAATCGTGCGTCACTTTCTTATCTTGCGTTCATTATTGTAGTTAGCTGTGACAAAATAAACGGAAAATACCAACATCAACTAGAAAAATAAAAACGATACAATCTTTTATGTAAGGGTATATTAATTATAACGGTTTCACATATACATGAGAGTACATGTTTGCCACACACAGTGTAAATATAAGTTATAGTGCTGTCGGCGTTAGACAATTTATGCCAAAAAAATCTGGGACGGTTTTGTATAATTATGATATTGATCAATAATTGAGTAAAAAGCCCACATACGTGTCTCGAATAAAGCGCAAGGGCTGATATTAACAGATTATGTTTGATCCTGTAAAACCACTGCATTTTGTTTGGCAGAAACCTGCAATGCACATGGCATATTCGCGCAGCAGATCCAAGCCAGGTGGTTGTCTTGGAAACGTTGGACTCAATGATTCATTCTTCGATTGATTGCCAAGAAGACACCGCTGCCTTATTTGAGGGTAAGATAAATCACACAAAGTAATATGAATATTAACTACGTCACCTGTCTGAAGACTATTATCTTTACAAGACAATGCATTGTTGCTGCATTCATGAGTTAAATAGTTATGATACACGATTTTATTTAGCTCGATTGATAACTGTTAATATTTATAGACACTAAAATGTAATATTTGTTGAAAACTTGTTCGATTCATATATTAACTCATTGTCGTCACTAATTTGTGGACCAGTTTTATTGAGGTGTTTACATGGTGATTCTATAACGGTGGGTTAGATGCGTGTTAGCAGATCGTGGTTTCGTCTCAACAATGGTGTCTTGTTAATAGCGCAATACTAAGCCTCGTTTGGTTCGGCAACATTGCTAGACACGTACGGCCCTTCTCTTTCTATTGAACAATGCTGACATTGTATAAGGAGGGCTGTAATATTTTCCAAAGTAAGTGTTCAGTTACAATGGACATGCAAGTGGTCCAGTACGAAAAATGTGGTCTGTTTCTTCTGATGTAAAGAGTGACTCACTGACAATTATTCTGTTTATTACTACAGGTCCAATTGCTAATGACACTAGGTTGGTACGCAAATGGTGTAGTGACCTTCGATACTACTTTGCCGATTCGAACAGCTACTTCCTGTTCTTCCGCACTGATTCAAAGTTCGAGAACAGAGGATTTCAAGTCCGCTATTACCAAGGACAGAGTGAGTATAAAATCATCAGAATATTGCATGTTGTGTAAATTAATAAAATACGTCCAGTAGCGATTGGACCGGGAGCTGTCCATTCTGTAGAGGGTAATGTCCGAGTAACTCTCAATTCTTTAAAAATAATGGAGCCGAGGCCCCGGGGAGCCAAGGCACATTATTTTTAAGGAATGGAGAGTTACTCGGATATTACCCTACTAAAACTACATTCAAAGTATTGGGAATATGTCTGTTATCAAAATTTTATGACAAAATGACAAAATGAAGCTTTTAATTTGAAACTGGTACACATGGATCCATTCCTGAAAAGTAATGGAGCGAGCAGACAATGGAATGACGTCACAAATGTAATTTAACTACATCTTGTGTACCGATATGAGAGCCTTTTTAGACACACAGGATGGACACACTAGCGATGTAATTAGGTCTCAAGAATAATAATTTTAATTAATAATTTCAAGATGCTATTTGCATAGGTTAATTTCAAATCTAAGCAAGTCTTTGTTAGAATCCATTGTAAACAGCATGTTGAAATTTGTACATCCGAATAATAGTGACCCGTCACAATATATAGTGTCTAAGGAATGGATTTTCACAACACAATGCTGAGTGTTATTCAAATTATTGATTGATCGATTTGCATAATTATAAATGTAACTTTGACTATATATTACAATAGTAACAATATTGCTGCGATAGGTTCCATGACAAATATAAACGTGTTCGTAAGAAGGACACTGTATATCAGATTAAATATAAATTGACTTCTTTTTATTCTATTGCATCATATCATAAACAATTATTTTCCATGGATAGTTTGGCTTTTGTCATCTGTACCTGTGAACTTTAAAAATGTTCATTAATGTTGTGTGCTTCAGGAAGTGGACCATGTAATCGTGATCTTGTGGCTAACAGTGACGTCCAGAACATCATATCACCTGGGTATCCCGTTGGATATTACCAGTACGTCCTTCAGCTATATCTATTAACACTTATAAACAATTCTGTAGTGATTCCCGGATATATTTGGTCCCCAGTAACCTATGCTTTGTTTTTTAGGACGTGTATAAGACGTGTCTTTCGTCGTCACCCTTTCCTATAATAACTGACCGGTTCCTAAATAAACTTGAGCCTCACATGTTTTACAGTTAATAGAACCGTGTTCTTATCCATGTAGTCATCTTCTTTTTGTTATTGGAATAGTTTTTAACGACAGTGTGCTTTCCTTTCATGACCTCCCTATTACTTTGCCAATGATATACTATTCATAAAAAGTAGGGGACCTTCATCTTTAATTTACGATTGAAACAAATGGGAGATATACACGTGTATGGGGCTACTGCGTTCATGTAAAGAGAAATGGTTGTGCGTTCATGAGATTTCTGTCTTTGAAAAGTTTGTTAACGCTTATACTTCCTATCCAAATTGAAAGTTCAAGTTCCCCTACTTTTTTTGGAAGCGTATAAATGGCAGGTTTCTCACCATTACGTACTTCAGCCAGATGAAAATGGAAGTTTTGCGTCTGTTTCAGTGACTTGTCCTGCACCTACAGCATCCAGGCAGAGCAATCGACTGACCGGATACAGATAGACATGGTCGACATGCATATTGAGAACTCTGTCAGTTGTGAAGATGATAACATTACTATCGTTGATCCCAGTATGTGAAAGTTTCTCACGTCTCATGTCTAGACGTGTGTACCAAATAACTATACCTTCAATGAACCAACGTTCATTCAAGCACAAACGATAGGAATATATATATATTTAAAACTTAAAGTTGTATGTGTGTCTCATGTGGGACTGAAAGCGAGTGTGGACAGAGGGTCGGATTAGTAAGCCATTTGAAACAGTATTGTATGCATGAGAAAATACAAGATATAAACATTTATTCTCTTTGAAGGTATATAAAGCCTGATCTATACTGAATGCGAGCAGAAAAATAAAGAAAACGAAAATAATTTCAATTGGTCGCAAATGGGAAACAGCGGTGACAAATGTGTAAAGAGATCAAATGTATCCTTTGTTATAAATGTGCATTATTTCGATAGTGTATAACTTTTAAATTAGCAAACGAACAGTTACTACGCGTGCATATAGAATAGGACATACGAGTAATGAATTACTAATCTAAAATTAACAGTATAACGTGCATTGTAATCAGTATAAACATATTAACTTTTTGATTGCATTCTTTCTGGCTTGTATTCTCAGGGTAGCCTCTTGAAATGTATTGAGAAATTCTAAGAAGAAAACCCCAATGATTTTAGAAATATTGTTGTCAGAAAATTAAGCAGAATGATTACTAAATTACCTTACATAATGAAAGGAATATGTGTTACACTAAAAATGAGATCAAAGTTACCTTGCTTTTGAGAATTGATAACTGGTTCAGATGCTTATTTCACGGGTATTCAATTCCTTTGCCCTATCAAGAATAAAGATAGAGAAACCACAGTATATTCAGTAACACTTGCTAGATACCTCTTCCGCAGAACCTCAACATACAAACTACTACTAATTCTATCTGGCAACTGATCCTAAAGGATCAAAGATTACAAAGTTGTCAATATTTCCTCACAGGGTTCATCGCAGCTAATGTAATGACATTTCTTTAGATCTTGGCGAGTATGACGTGGGGACAATCTGTGGCCAAATGACACCATCATATCAGAGCAGCGGTTCGCGGTTACAGATCAAGTTCAACTCGAACCGTATCAAGGAAACCAGAGGTTTTATGATCAAATTCAAGAGCATTTCGAGTGAGTATACTGAGTTCATTCATTTTTCACCAGTGTTTGTAACTTTCTTATGCTAGGTATTGAGACATTATTCGGTTCATATATGATATATGACATAAGTATATGCATTATATGATTTTAATAGGGACTGAATTTGGAATAGTTATGATCAATGATGATATTTAATTTACCCTCAAATAAAGTGAACATGTAATGTCATCCAATTGATAAACCATGGTATTGCAAGCAATACAATGTGTTTTTTAAAATCAAACACCATATTCTATTGAAAAAACGCAGCAGTGAGTTGTTACTCTGTTGGATGACATGTTAATGTGGCTGTAGGCTTCTAACGACTCGCATGTACTTTGAGGTTCTCTCTTGAGGTTCTCCCGAGAACTGAGAATAAAAAACGTATTTGCTCATTGTTTAGCACTTAGAACTTGGTTTAGGGCTGTGACCTTTGCATTATACATATGAACTGTTAGTAGTAGTTGCATAACATCGTAAGTCAAATATTATGATAAAAATTGTTATGATAATAACTGATAGTTATAGCTGATAGTTGGAGTTTGTTAGCAGATCTGAGACTTCGATGTACATTGTTCCGGTCTGTAGTTTTAATTTCACTGAGAAATTTTGAAGCAAATTACGTAGACGTGTTGTAACAGTGTTTAACTGAAAACAAGATGTTCTGAAATAGAACATGGGTATTCCTATTTCATTTGGAAAAAGGTCAACTCTACCCCAAACGATGACGTCTTTTTGGATGTCTGGGAACATACCAATATGCATATTGTGAGTCGAATTAACATTGCTTCTTCTTTTTGTCCAGATTTGGACTGCAGGAACGATGAGTTGGTAGCGACTGATGTTGATTCCTACCTTGTGTCACCCGGTTATCCGAATTATTACAGGTAACATGTGTCAGTTTAGTATAGGTTCTCCACCTTTACCTACACATATGCGCTATAAATAATAATGAAGATTTTAATGGATATTTCCTACAATTACCATAAATCGATCAACAGTTATTTTCTGACAGTAAATGAACGACTCAAATTCACGTATAATTTGTAATTGTATGCCTTTGATGACTTTATTGTATCTTTCGGAGGGAATCTTTGATTCATGTTAATCTGTTTTTCTCAGTAACCTTGCGTGTAGCTGGACAATATTGAGTAATAATCCACAAAGGACTGTAGAGGTCGAGGTCATGCAAGTGGCAATATCCAGCACACCTCCTGCGTGTAACGGAGACAGACTTGAAGTGGATTATCTTGGTAAGTTGTACTTCTCTTTGTTTCTTGTCTCTTTTCTTATATCACAACCGTATTCATGTAGAAAGTCTCAAGGCAAATTTCATACACATTCCTGTTCAGATTGGGTTCAATATCTAACGTTTGCAGAACGTACAACACCATCCCACACGGTGGGAAATGTATAACGTGCATTTAACTTGGAATCATCAATTTCCTCAGTCATTATATCATGATAATCAAGAGAGTGAGTAAGTATGTTAAAGGTTATAGTACCTTTGGCAATATTTCAGTCATATCTTGACTAAAAAGGGTCACAATTAAATTATTTATAACGTTATATCTTAATATTTGTCTGTGAATGACAGTAAAAGGACTAGAATATCACAGTTACAAATATAAAACTAACATGTGAAAAGTATATAGTTTACAATTTAGAACGTCACAATATAAACACAAGCTATAGATCACCAGCAACCATGGGGACTTACAGTGCCTTTGCTGCCTGCATGGGCCTAGCTGGATTTACACCATCCCTTCAGCCACTTGTGACTGTAGTAAAATTTAGATAAGATACTGTTTATATTTAGGATGTCTTTTAATAGATTTAAGAGCTATTAGTATGCCGTTTGTTTCTACTGTAAAAATAGAGTTGTTATCTGGTAATCGAGAAGATATTGTTCTGGACAGTAGCACAAGCAACTCATGACAATCAAGATGTGTTCTGTCCAGGTTATGCTTTAAATGACAACTTTGAATGTATTTGGAAATTACGTTACTCCCTATACTTTCATGTCAATTCGATACATTTTATGCAGATTCGTCAAAGCCAAACGAGGTGATATGCGGTTCAAGCACCCCGTCACAAAAGTTCGTTAGCCTGGGTAGCACTTTGTCAATCACATTCACATCTGATACTACCAACGAAGGCCAAGGTTTTTACATCAGATATCGACTGGTACAAGGTAGGTGTTCTCTGGATATGTCGAAAATACACAGTGACCGTGGTGGCCTTTGCCATCTTCCGAAAATATCAAATAAAGTTGCTTTGACTATACTGGTATAGACATCTAACACAAGCAAGATATAATGTTGTCTACTTTTAATGCTCGATCAAACTTTCATCGACTTTACAAAGTGCACAACGTTGCCACCCTGGAAAATGCTAATACAACAGCGTGTCTGTGAATAATGTGGGATAATGTGATTCAGGTCATAGACCGCAACAACTTTGGCGGAGTCCTTGAGAACCACTGGCCAATTATTTAAAGGAACTTCCGTACACTTGAAGTCCCTCTGTCACACCAGTGACCATATCGTACCCACAGAGCAATTTAAGTTTTTATCTGTTGTGGTCTTACTAACTAATTATGTCAAACGTAGTGGACGTATGTGTAGATGCATGCCTCTTACTTAGTAACCGGGTGGGGTTTTAATCCTAGAAAACGCACCTTCTGCCTCGTGTGATCAGACATTGGCTGCAACCGAAAGAGAGCAGATTCTTACGTCTCCGGGATATCCACACATCTCTCTTAAGTAAGTCACTGTGTTACTGTTCCAAGACGTAAATCAGAGCGTCTTTACTTAGGTACTCTGACCCTATCAGACTGTATATGGTAGGACCATGTTAATGTAATGACTGGCTTGTTTCAAATGCCTAATATATTTTGTCGGTCTTTGTTTCTAAAGCAAATCACCCTATGCAGATCTACATGTGTGTTTGTAATTGTGATACGTTAAATGAGTCGACCCGATAATTCCAATGGGAATACTATTATACAGAAAAAATACATGATCTTCAACCTTTCCAAATTCGAATTTTAAGTTTTGTTTCAGGCAATAATGACACAAAACATAAATATTTAACCGTGGTCCTTCTTGTCACCAACGTCTCATATCTTTTCAGGTCACAAACCTGCTCCTACACTATTAGAGCACAAAGTGGTTACCACATCAGAGTGACTCTCAACGATCTTGATATTGAATTGAGCAAACGCTGCATATTTGACAGCTTGACAATATCAGACGGTATGCAATATTGTGATAAAGGTGATACAATTCTAACCATATGGTTTGTGTGCACATACGGTCGTCTTTACCTAGGATACCTACCTATATGCAGAAAAGCCATTGGTATTAACTCTGAATAGAAAGTCTATAATACAGAATATAACTCTGTCTGCTGTCAGTATCTTGCACATACGTCGATACACCTCGCTCGGCGATACAGTACAGAGCCAATAACTACTATGATAGATATTCCAGTAACGTAGCAGTGCAATGAAACTAATGTGATGTTGATTAAATGCCTTTCAAATTCTAATCAGATCTGGAAAACAATTCCAAAACGAATGCAGGAGGCGCTGTTATCTATTTAATTTTTTATTTTCTTCATTTCAAATGTACAATATTATCTGTCTATAAGACGCCATTGACCGCTTGTCTCAGGTTCTTCGACCCTAAATGAGTTATGGTGTGGGGACAGAGCTGGAGAAGTTGTGAATAGTCTGAGAAATGAGGCCACCGTGACCTACAGTATAGATAACTCCAACAACGGAAAAGGTTTCTCCCTCAAGTATTCTGCAGTCAGTGGTGGGTATCACCTGCAGAAATGCAATTTGATACAACTACCATGTACCCTACTACCGAGCATGAAGAATTTGTTCGTTCACTACCAGACACAACAAATAATGGCAACCAGTGTTGGTTGCGATCTAGTTCAAACTTATTTTGCAATATACATATACAACTTTTAGTTTCATTTAGTTGTGTGCTATGATTGAAACTGTAATCTCTGGACGTGTACACGGCAAAGGATATCCATCGATCTATTTACTGTAGCTGTTAAGTGCATTTCTCTGAGTAACAGCTTCTGTGGCAGCGTTGTGTTGTGCTGGACATACATATATATTATGCTTGCTGAATATGGTTAGTTCTTAAGCGACAAGCTGTTATTGTAGTATAGTTCCTACCTGTAGTCTGTTTGCAGTGAAAACGTACCGATGAATTTCACTTATTTAAACTAAAAAGTAAATCGAATAAAGTCAAAATAAGATTACGAATCCACATAATTTTACCTTGCCAATTATATGTTTAAATCTCAGAATTTTATTCAACTTAGGATATAAGTTGTTTTACAAACGATCATAGCTTCAAATCGCTATTATTGGTTTGTATTTCAAGGGGGTATGCACATTAAATGAAACACCGAGAACAAGTAGGGTTGGTCTAAGTTAACGCTCATGGCGTACCGCACGTGCATTTGTTTCACTGCACAAAGTACAGAGCTTACCCCCTAGTAATACAAACCTATAATAGCGATTTGAATCTGTGGTCGTTTGTTAAACAACCTTTATCCTAAGTTGAGTAAAATTCTGATATTTAAATGTTCAAATGGCAAGGTAAAATTATGAGGATTCGCAATCTTAATTTCACTTTATTTGATTTACGTTGTTGTTTTTTTTCAGTGAAATTCATCGATACGTTTTCATTGCAAACAGACTATAATTCAAATTTTGAATTTCTGCACTGGTTTAAAATCTGTTCTATTTATTTATAATGAGCAGATGTATCAAAACTACCTTGATTGAAGGTTAAATTGTTCATGCACTACATCTTATCAAAAGGAGACCCAAATATCAAAACAAGAACTGATGTGTTTAATTAAATGCTTAATATGTGATATAGGCATCTGTCGAAGAATAACCTTTGTCATCAAATACCAGAGCATCGTGTAATCTTTTGTTTGAAAGTAAATTGAATAAATGTGAACCTTGTTTGAAAGACATTATCAAGGAAAGGATCCCGAGAAACTACACACAGAGGGACTTTAATTTCCTACCGGGATGATATTGTTGCCTGTTACAAAATGGCAAGCCATATCAGAGAAGATGTGCTACATGTCAGGTTATGATTTCCTGTAACAATCCCTATACTGACCTGACAACAGGAGTGATTATTACATCGCTACCCTTTCTCAATAACAGGAACACCTAGTAAGATCCAGACAATGACCATGCCCACACGAAGCACTCCGCTCTACCTGACTTCACCTGGATTTGAAAAACGATTCCCTCGGTATGTCCATTATGACCATTAATATTCTTCAATGAAAATGTATAATAATATACCTTCTTGGTAATACCACTTGAAAGATACTCACATTTAAGATAATCGTTGTCTCTATTTATGTGTAGATGAGTTTTAATAACCAGACAATATCAAGCGGAGCTTCAAAAATTGACTTCATACATTGACGAGAATTGTAACCGAACCGAATGTTTTAACATCTAGGCTACCTGGTCGTCCATCATCATATCACCGCTCATATATTTATGATATTTATCCATTCCTTTGATTTTAAAGAGGCATATCCTTCACGTACATCTTCACTGCCGACCCTCTACTACGAATACGACTGCGAGTAACTGAATCGTATCTTCGTTACTACACTTCCACTGGGGCCTGTATTGGTGAAAGGGTCATGCTTTATGACGGTAAGACAATGCCGGCTTTACAAAACAGGTGTTCAAGAGTTATAACTCAACCAAAGCAAAATAAGCATAATCCAAACATTTGCCGCTTCTATTCCTGACTCGAGTAATGATGACAAACCTGATGATTCGTCTTCTGATCGGAATGAGTGATGAGCCAGTATGTTATTCCCCCGCTTTCGGCAGTAATCCTGCTTCATCGGGACAGTGATCAATGAAAATTGCCTTCACACATTGTATCCATGGAATCGAAACCCGGGTCTTTAGTATGACGAGCAAACACTTTAACCCTAGACAAACCATCAGGGTGCCGTTGTACAAAACAACCTAAGCACAAAGATTACATTATAACCTTAAGTTTTAACCTTCTGCTCGGCGTCCCGTTGCACGAACCTACCTTATACTAAGGTGGCCTTAGTTTTATACTAAGGTGGCCTTAGTTAGGTGAATATTTAAGGGGTGGTCCAACCCGTCCTTAGTGAGGTTAAGGTTCACGTTTCATGTAATTTCAACATGACTACATTCTTGGTGATATGTCAGGAAACTGGTCGAGGCGTTATACTGGTGTATTGTACAAATCGGATAATGACATTTGATTTCAAAAATAAATAAATATTTTGAACGTGCTTACACCAGATATTTATTATCTTAATTGTGAATCCCAGATTCGCTCATTTAACCATTTTAGATTCGTATTCACGACATGCCCTCGTCGTGAGTTTTAACAAAATGTTGCCATAATTTCTTACGAATTGCCATAATTTCGAACGTTCTCCCCAATTAACGCGACATGCTGTCATATAACCGTAACACCGTCAAAGGGCGCCACATTCGTTCACACAGTATGATGTCATTTCAGGTCCATCTTCAACCAGTTCTAAGTTGAGATCTGTGAACACTGGGGAATTTGGCTGGTGTGCCTTGGACCTCCCTGTTTTCGTCAGCAGCAGCAACTACATGACCATGGTGTACAAAACAAAGACATCTAGTGACCATGAAAGAATTGGCTTTGTTCTCAGTTATGAGCAAGGCAACTTCACTGGTATGTTTTTCAGATAAACATACCTCAAAGTCTAAGTATTCATATACATCTATGACAATATTTGTATATTTATTTTTCACAATGTTTTAGCTTTCCAAACAAATAGAATACAGTTAATAAAGGTACAACATATGACTTTGCCATGAAAGAAATTGTGACGGCATTGTTATTTTATTACATATATCATTATAATATTTTTGTGTATCATGTGTCACATCCATCATGACATGTCATCCATCCACCATCGCATGACATGTATCTCATCCATCATGACATGACATGACCTGACATCCATTTATCCATCATGACATGACACTACGTACAGTTTTCCCAGGAATTACTGAGAAAATCTTGGTTTGCTAATAACAGAATTTTAGAATACGTGTTACATTATGTAGTTACGTACTCAATATGGGAGACAACTCGTGTAGGCTTAAGAATGAACCTTACTACATCAAGAGTTATCTCCCCTCGTGTAGCAGACGGCTTCCCTATTGACATGGCAAATGTGACAGCAGAAGAGAAAAGAAACCTGGTTCTAGACGGTTTTGAAAGGGGTGTGACTGATACAAAAGAGTTAAGCTGGTAGACGCAAAGACATTCCTCTGCCTACAGGATACAGAACTTTAAAGAATATTCAGTCAGGAGTTGGGATTGAGCACAACACAGGGAGGCAAGGAAGTTCAGTACTACGGATCGCCGGCGACTTGGTCGGATTGTGAGTAGGGGAAATTGAAAAGCGTTGAGAATATCAGAAATGAGATGATTAATAGAGGAAGTCCTCAGGTATGTATTTAAACCTTCAGACAAGAATTGCAAAGATTTAACTGGGTGAAAAAGCTCAGAATTCCCTCACCATTGATGAAAGATGCACACAAAAAAGACGTTTAAACTGGTGTGGGGCTCACGAAAACCAAGATTAGGATAATGTTTTCTTTTCTGATGAAAGTTCTGTCTGGCATTCTCCGGGCTGTCTGAAAATTTGGACAACAGATACGTGAAATATATGCATGGTCATCTTCTCCTAACGGCCCGAACACTGTGTGAAGATAATTCAGTCGTGTATTGTTGGGCAAGGGGGTCTCACAAAGTACTGAAAAGACACTTAGACTGCACGAGAATCATATCGCAACATATTCATTTTAGTAACATTTCTGTAGTTTATATACATTATTAGATATTTTCCGAAACAGCTTTCTCAATAATTTCTTGGAATACTATATCCCATCCATCATCACATGGGATCCATCCGTGTGTCTTTAACACTCTTTGTCGTACACACTTGTGAGACATATGTCAAGCTTGGCAAACTATGACCAGCTAAGCAGACAATGCCAATGAAAACTGCCTACGTGCGCAGATTTTGTCCAAGAGAACTCACGACCTACCGCCATCAAGACATGACATCCATCCATCATCGCAGGATATACATCGTATCCATCATGTTATCCATCCATCATCACATGACATGTATTGCTTCCAACTGGACATGACATCCATGCATCATCGCAGGATATACATCGTATCCATTATGTTATCCATCCATCATCACATGACATGTATTGCTTCCAACTGGACATGACATCCATCCATCACCGCAGGATATACATCGTATCCATCATGTTATCCATCCATCATCACATGACATGTATTGCTTCCAACTGGACATGACATCCATGCATCATCGCAGGATATATATCGTAGCCATCATGTTATCCATCCATCATCACATGACATGTATTGCTTCCAACTGGACATGACATCCATCCATCATCGCAGGATATACATCGTATCCATCATTTTATCCATCCATCATCACATGACATGTATTGCTTCCAACTGGACATGACATCCATCCATCACCGCAGGATATACATCGTATCCATCATGTTATCCATCCATCATCACATGACATGTATTGCTTCCAACTGGACATGACATCCATCCATCACTGCATGATATACATCGTATCCATCATATTATCCATCCATCATCACATGACATGTATTGCTTCCAACTGGACATGACATCCATGCATCATCGCAGGATATATATCGTATCCATCATGTTATCCATCCATCATCACATGACATGTATTGCTTCCAACTGGACATGACATCCATCCATCACCGCAGGATATACATCGTATCCATCATTTTATCCATCCATCATCACATGACATGTATTGCTTCCAACTGGACATGACATCCATCCATCATCGCAGGATATACATCGTATCCATTATGTTATCCATCCATCATCACATGACATGTATTGCTTCCAACTGGACATGACATCCATCCATCACCGCAGGATATACATCGTATCCATCATGTTATCCATCCATCATCACATGACATGTATTGCTTCCAACTGGACATGACATCCATCCATCATCGCAGGATATACATCGTATCCATCATATTATCCATCCATCATCACATGACATGTATTGCTTCCAACTGGACATGACATCCATGCATCACCGCAGGATATACATCGTATCCATCATTTTATCCATCCATCATCACATGACATGTATTGCTTCCAACTGGACATGACATCCGTCCATCACCGCAGGATATACATCGTATCCATTATGTTATCCATCCATCATCACATGATATGTATTGCTTCCAACTGGACATGACATCCATGCATCATCGCATGATATACATCGTATCCATCATATTATCCATCCATCATCACATGACATGTATTGCTTCCAACTGGACATGACATCCATGCATCATCGCAGGATATATATCGTATCCATCATGTTATCCATCCATCATCACATGACATGTATTGCTTCCAACTGGACATGACATCCGTCCATCACCGCAGGATATACATCGTATCCATCATTTTATCCATCCAACATCACATGACATGTATTGCTTCCAACTGGACATGACATCAATCCATCATCGCAGGATATAGATCGTATCCATTATGTTATCCATCCATCATCACATGACATGTATTGCTTCCAACTGGACATGACATCCATCCATCACCGCAGGATATACATCGTATCCATCATGTTATCCATCCATCATCACATGACATGTATTGCTTCCAACTGGACATGACATCCATCCATCATCGCAGGATATACATCGTATCCATCATTTTATCCATCCATCATCACATGACATGTATTGCTTCCAACTGGACATGACATCCATGCATCACCGCAGGATATACATCGTATCCATCATTTTATCCATCCATCATCACATGACATGTATTGCTTCCAACTGGACATGACATCCATCCATCATCGCATTGGATCATGTATCGCATGTATGTTTGATTCATGTGGATGGTAGGAAGTTTTGAAAAAGTGTTATGCTTATTGCGGCAAAAAAACACACACAAATCTGTTGTCAAATCACTATATCATTTTTACAGATTTATATCCATACACGTGTGGTGGCATGTACGAAGCGACGTCAGGGAGGACCACAATCTCCTCGCCAAACTACCCAGGAAACTACGGCAAGTAAGTGGCAGATCTTAATCACCAAGAAGGAAGTGACTGATGCAGTTTGTGTGATTTCCCCAGGGTATTTGACCTTTAGAAGATCTGACTATAACAGTGTCATAATTTACACATAAATGATGAAGGCGACTGAGCCTGACTACAGGTTTCCCTGTAAATGTGGAATCAGCCAGTCAGACAGTGGCTACATCAGTTCCAGAAAGTGTCTCGCCATTTAATCCTCTGGGCCCTTATTCTCGAAACGTTCTTAGGCCTAAGAATTCTAAACTTTGATCGAAGCCAATGTGTTAAGTCTGGGCTTGAGAAGTTTGTAGGGCTACAAACGTTTCGAGAATACCTAGCCTGATCATGATCACCTCAGCCATAATTTGTTACCTCCCAGATACTAAATATGGTTCTTGACAAACTTGTTTTCTGACGGCAAATGCATTTACGATCACTGTTAGTTGTTAGAAAATATGCATGTGTCAAACAGAATCCAACATAGACCCTCGTAACAGTTAAATAACTGTTAATAATGGTCATGCGCGGATGAAGGTCAACTAATTAAAGAGGTGGTGTCACCATGGTTTTAACTGTTCCATTCATATAATTGTCGTTAATATTTTGCCATACAGAATGGATTCTGTTTCAGCAGTTCATCGAGATGTGGTACTCTCTGGGGATGACGATTCATATGTATTTGATCATATTTTCAGCAATATGGTATGCAAATGGACCATATGGGCGACTTCGAACACGACCCAGATCCGACTAGCTGGCAGCTACTCTCTTGCAGGGGGCTCCAGTGGTAGCTGTGGTGGAGACTTTCTGAACGTGTACGATGGTATGTCCGTATCCTTAAAAACATTTGCAAACAGGTTTCATAACGATAAGGTTTTATGACAAATGAATGTTTCGCATTTCTGTTCCATCGCTTTTGAAAATATTTAACATATAAATACGTAAAATGTTTTTCAGGTGCAGAAGATGGTTCCAACTTTCTCGAAAAGTTGTGTGGGACAGGCTCTGATACTCTTCAGTCCATCGGAAACCTTCTTACGATCGTTATGAAGACTGATGGAAGTTACACGGGGAAAGGATTTAGTTTCTTGTTTTACGAAACAACAGGTACACCTGGAGAGGGTATTTGGTTGGTACTTGCTTGGCATATTAGGACATTTTTAAGACAAATATTGTTGATGTAGTGTTTGCCCGATAAATAAACTATCTATGGTCATCCTACAACTAACTATTACTGACTAATCTGTAATGTCATTATGAAACAGAAGGTGACATGTAAACCAGGGCACGAGGCTGTTCCACCCGACGGAATTCGCTAAACTGAACATGTTTCTGAAAACAGCGATCGCGCATTCGAATCCCAGATTCAAAGAGTTGTTTGTTTGAAACAAAATGCGTTTTCAGTCATTCAGCCATTGCTTTCCAATCTGAAATGTACAGCCAGTCATAAAATGTAATGCAATAGCAATAGCAAATTCTCGGTCCCCACTGATATGTTGACATAAATATTGTCATATGCAATAGCACGCTACCTGTGATTGTCTGGGTTAGAATATTGATCTTCAGTAACCCATGCTTGTCGTAAGAAGCGACTAAAGGGATCGGGTGGTCAGGCTCGCTGACTTGGTTGACAAATGTCATCGGTTCCCAATTGCGCAGATCGATGATCATGCTGTTGATCACTGGATTGTCTGGTCCAGTCTCGATTTTTTACAGACCGCCGCCATATTGGTGGAATATTGCTGAGTGCGGCGTAACACTAAACTCACCCACTCACTCCCTGCAATAGCACGCCATGAGTTCGTCAACAACTGGAAAGCGTCTTCTCGTACAGTATTCGTTTTTCGGTCACTGAAACTACTTCATACAACAGGTATCAATGTTTCAGATCCACCTCCGTGTGGTGGGTCCTTGACAGCATCGTCGACGAGTTTAAACCTCAGAAAGACAATTCGCCCGTGAGTGTTTTTACAGGCTTCAAGTAACAAGTTGCAGATGAAGTGGTTGGCGTTGGAACGTTCTCATAATACCACTTATTTACCTGGTCCAGATCTGACAATTCGCAGTTCGTTGTGATCTTGTTTGATGAATACAAACTAAAAAATCAAAATAGAAATAAACAAACCATATTTCTCGGGCTGTTGAGTGGCCAAGTAGTTGACAACGTACTCTGAATACTACTCTACATGGTATAATATGAGGAGTCCATTAATGTATGTCGTGAAATGAATATGACTATGAATGCGGCATGAAAAACAGCTCACTTATTTACAGTGTGTTTTGAATGATGCACCTTTTCATGAAAAGAACATTCCTAATATCTTTTTGTTTCAGAAACCTTTCATGTAAATGGATATTTACAAGGGAAACTGACGACGCCTACATTCGACTGAAACTGACAAGTTTTTATATCGGGGTGCAGAGCAGCGGCACATGTGGCGCGGATCGTGTAGAAATATATGATGGTAATTAAGTGCGATGATATATTTTGTCAAATAATTATATTTCTATGTTATTCCCCATGAGATATGGACACCAGTTGAAGGGAATGATATTTTATTGTGCTTGGCTATTGATTCAGAACTCTAGCACGTATTTTCATCTATCTTGATTTGTTGTATGTTGTGCAAGCAGTTAGAAAACTGATTAATAGTAAAGTCATACATGCATCAGACACCCGTCACCTGGACCCTTCCATAGCAGTACCTTGATATTTCTTTCTTTTGAATGCAGGTAACTCTGAATCAAGTGACCGGCTCGCTTCACTCTGTGGATACAAGTCAGCTGCAACGTACATTGGAACCGGTGAGCAGATGATGGTCAAGCTGGTGACAGGAGTGTCCCCTACAGGAGATGGCTTTAGTATCGAATACAGAGCATGTAAGTTCATCGCATTTCTGCATATATATGTAATTCAAAAAGTGATAACATCTGACAATCTGGCAATAGAGACGTTTAAAATAAGGTGTATGACTGCTTACCATGCCATTTAGAAAGATATATTATATTTGAGATTACATCTTCACAGTAACGTACAGATTATAGAAACGTTCTTGGATTAACCCACTAAATACAAAGGGTTATTAATATTTTCAATGTTTTGGATATGTGGAACTGGTAGTAATATTCAATGCCATGCATTGCCAGGTACTATGATTAACTGATCAGCTAGCCAATACTAGTCATCCACCAACAATATCCTTTAATTGATATTCTCCGTCGTAATAACATGACACGTTGTTTGACAGGTATTGAGGCTTTTATACATTTTCAATGTCGGTAGTGTTTGGAAAGTTATTCAATATATGCTTAAATACATACCAGGTCTTTGAATGGCATTTAGAAGTGATGCACGTAGGCATCTACGCCAGGTAACTGCATCAATTGTTCAGACGGCATCTTTGTTGTCTTATTACTTTTGTTCTTCTTACATGTACATGTATATGCTCTCTGCCTCGTACCATTCATTCACCCGATGGAGTAAGGATATACTCCGAAGCGTTCTGTTCCTCAAAACAAGAAGTAGACATCTATAAAAAAATCTCTTCCTTACGTAAATACATATTTCTAGGTTCTCTGTAATACGTAACCCTATAATTATTGCATCTTTTATGGTTTCGCAATGACGGAATTGTTTAGATTTAAGTACGATGGGCTATTGCACTTTAGGGACAATATGTTAAACATATCAACAGTTTCCATGAAGTTGAACGGAATAATATGACATAGTATGGGCATAAATACGAAAACGGTCACCTTTCTTTCGAGTGAGTATTTTTGCCTTAATTATGTTGTTGATGATATAACGCAATTCTAGAACCAAACCCACTCACGCATATCTTTTGTGTGTATCAGCATGTTTCATCCTTATACACTAAATATGACTTCAATGATTTCAGCCACTGAAGAGCGATGTACCAGAGGGAATCTCAGGGCTATCAGTCAAATATCTTACCTTCAGTCTCCCTCCTATCCCGATAACTATGCATCGTACGTATACATGAAATACTAGATATTTCGGCAAATTTTATTCAGAATGATGGCTTTGGACTTCATGATGGTTAAGGCCCCACTCAAAGCAACTGTACATCAGTTGTAAGATAGAGGCCTGTATCAGAATACACATGTAAGCGAAATATACCACGCAATATGATGGATTGTGGAAGGACATGAAGCAGACAGACATCACTATGCTGATGACGCTCAAGTCTACAGATCCATGGAGTCAAGGCCATTTCAGGCGCATAGGGCTTTGAGTGAATTGAGCACTTGCTGTGAAGATATCAAGGCGTGGATGCATTACAACAAACTAAAACTGAATAGTGACAAGACGGAATGCATTATCCTAGGGCCACAGAAAAGGAGATCACAGTGTGGTCTTACATGTTTTAGGTTTGATAATACAAACATCCAAATCGCTGACAAGGTCAAAGACCTTGGTTTGATTATCGACTCAGATGTGTCACTGGATGATCACGTTTCCCATCTAGTCCAGAGCTGCTTTGCTCAGTTGCGTACTATTGGACATATCCGACCATATCTCACCACCGAATCTGCCACCACTCTTCTCCTGTCTCTAGTTATGAGCAGGATTGATTACTGTAACTATCTTCTCGCTGGTGCCACTAAGACACAGATAAGGAAACTTCAGCGTATGCAAAACGCTGCTGCACGTGTAGTGACCCAGTCACGTAAATCTGATGACGCTCTGAAACTCCTACATTCTTTACTGGCTGCCCATTCACTATAGGATTCAATTCAAGCTTCTGTGCCTCACTTTCTGCTGTCTGTCTGGATCTGCCCCTTCGTATCTGGCCCATTCCCTCACACAGCACCGCCGTTCTCTCCGTTCACAGGAAAAACGTTTCCTCGTTATCCCCACTGTGAGGACTTCTACGTATGGTGAAAGGTCCTTTTCGTATGCAGCCTCTACAGCCTGGAATCAACTACCTCAATATCTACGTGACTGTACAGAACTTTCTAATTTTAAATCTTTACTAAAGATTCACTTTTTCAGATTAGCTTATGAGTGTTAACGATAATTCATTGCATTGTTTCCATGTATCTCTCTCTAATTTTTTATTCTCTCCTATAGTCTGTTTGTATGTACATCTATGTTTTGCGCTTTGAGCATGTTGTACATGGAAAACAGCGCATTACAAGCATGCTATTATTATTATTTTAATTGAATGAAATGACACATTTTTCTGCAGAAAAAACAATTCACTCTGTTTTGTAACTTGTTTGAGATAACAAATTATGTCGGGAAATCTGCCAGTGTATCTTTGCCAGCTGTTTGTTAAAGAACATTTGTTCACCCAAATCGTAACGTCCTAAAATTGTAATTTTGCTCAAAGTTTCGTGAGGTCTCTGGATAAGAGATAGATGCCAGATTTCCTCCATATATTCGTAATTCCGAAAACCTTGATTTTCCCACATGTGTCCATTTTATGAATAGTGTGATTTTTAGTTTTACGCCGCTTTTAGAAATATTCCAGCAATACCACGGTGGGAGACACCAGAAATGGGCTTATATTATAACACATTGTAGCCATGTGGGTATTCGAACCCGGGTCTTCGGCATGATGAGCGAACGCTTTAACCACTAGTCTACCCCCACCTGCACTCGCTCTGTAATGAGTAAGTTGCCATATATCTTTAGTATGAAGGTCGATAAAAGCACTCACACGATGTTGTATTTCGAAAATTTACGTGTTCCTTTTTTGTTTTATGTCCATCAGGAACCTACACTGCACGTGGCTCATCGACAGTGGCTACGCGGACAGAATTGTCTTCTTTGATATCAAGATAGCAAGCATATTCTACTCCGCCGGCTGTGCGGATGACCATCTGGCAGCATATGACGGTGGGTGTCGTCGTAACTCATACAAATGGGCGACGTAAACAACAAAAAAACACCACCAAAAATAATACAAACCAATGTGGACGGATATTTGACCATAACGGCAACATAACTCCCTTCTATACGGATATATCTTTTTTATATTTTTTTCTTTTTAAGTTAACATCACTTTCTTGTATTGGTGCGGCCGTATAAGACATCACTATGAATATAGCGTCATGATTTATGAGTGTAATATACCATGGTATCTTAGGATGTGGACTTGCGTCTTGTACATTTGATTAGTAGCAGCTCAGTTTCACGTTTATTATACCATGCACATTCTTTGCGCAGGAATATCGGAGGCAACCGGCGTTCAGTTAGGTAAATGGTGTCGGGGTGTTGGTCCAACTGGAAAACAACAGACAACTCAACAATATTTGACCATTGTCTTTCACACAAACGAAGATGAGTCTGATCGTGGGTTCAGGCTGAGTTACTGGAATGATGTCAAGCCCATAGAAGAAGGTACTTAGTAACCACAAGTTGAAATACAATTACATGTGCCAAGGTACTATGATGCCTCATGTGTCTGTTGCAGCAGTTGATGACACGGTATCGAAAACAGAAAAAACAGTTAAATCAATTTTACCATATTTTATGAATTAGTGCAAAGGAAACTAGTTTTGCCTGATTTCAGAAAGATGAAACATGTGGAAAATGTTGTGTTAATATTCATGGGGATAAGTTCGAAAATATCCAATTTTCCTAATATGTTCTTGTTGAACAAACATTACAGTATTTCCTTATTCCTGAGCAGGAACAAACATACATTGAAACATTTTTCCTGAGTGAAAATCTTGCTCACAGATATATTTTGCCCTGGTTACCGAGGAGGTAACCTAAGTCATAATTCTAGTTAATCCCATTTACGGGTTCATCATTAATTATGTTTCGGTTTCACTTACAGTACACACACACACGCACGCACGCACGCACGCACGCACGCACGCACGCACGCACACACACACACACACACTAGTGATTTCTGCAGGTGTATAAGCAATGAATATATAAAAGATGAGTCCAGATATTTGTTCTTGCCAAAACTAAGTGTCGTTATAGGCGACACATAACGGTTATAGCTATGTCGTCATCATGTGTATGGCGTTACAGTTAGTGACAATAGGGGAGAAACGTATAGTAGTCATGAGTAACAGTAAAGTTACGTTTTTGACGTCATCATGTTCTTGACGTCATAGTTATAAACAATAGTGGTGAATGTGAATGCATTATGGTTTCAGTGAACAAATACATACTGAGTTACATTGAGAAGGTTACAAAATTATACTTTTGAATTAAGCTTAGGTTTAAACAGCCTTATAAACATTTGGTCTTTTTCCGTCCGTAATTGTTTATCATTGTTAGACAATTGACAAAACGAAATGATAGTAAACTGGCCATTCCCGCATTCACCAATGTGTTTGCTTACGATATTGTCATACACGTGATGACAAAATAGTTATTACCGTTATGCGTCGCCTATGACGACACTTAGTTTTCATTGTACACCCGAAGAGCCGTAAAACGGCGTGAGATATGGTGCCGAGGGGTTTGGGCAAGAAGAAATATCTGCACTCATTATACATACGTGTGTTTGTTTTGTTTGTTTGTTGTTGTTTTTGTTTGTTGTTGTTGTTGGTGGTGTGGGTGTGTGTGTGTGTGTGTGTGTGTGTGTGTGTGTGTGTGTGTGTGTGTGTGTGTGTGTGTGTGTGTGTGTGTGTGTGTGTGTGTGTGTGTGTGTGTGAGAGAATTTGAACTGCACCATTTTGCCTTATTTTGAATTATATTTTGAATATATTTGTAATATATTTCAGGTGGAAATGGAGGTTCAAGTAGCAACATAGGAGCAATTGTTGGTGGCGTCATTGGTGGCCTCGTACTGTTGGCTGTGATCGTCGCCGTCGTCGTCATCATCTTCTGTGTCGTCCGGAAACCTCGGTCGAAAAACGGGAATAGGCTTCCCGGATCTGGTCAAGCCATTCCTCCAGTAGCTTATCAGCCACAGATGCATAACGTGTATATGACACCAGCGTCCACTAGCCTTAATGGACATGCTTACGACAATAATGCTTACAATGTACATCCGCAACACCAAGGGTCAAAGTATGAAGTCCCGGCACATGGACATTCCCAACCAGAACATGTTCAAGGGAAGAATTATTCTTTCGGAGAGCCCAGACAGGAAAATGTATATTCTCAGCTAGGGCCTGCTGAGAGGGATGATTATTTTCAGTTTGGGCCTATGGAAGAACCGAAATATTCAGAAATAACACAGAGAAGCCCCCCGCGTCATGACTACCAAAACGCTGCGAACAATATCGAAACTAACATTTGAGCCTTGTTCAAATTCAGTTTATAAAATAGATACACAACTCTTATGGTATGTTTTGACATGAGAATTATCTGAAGATTATCTGACATTTAGTTGCTTGAAATAATTCACGTTTATGTACAAAACCAGGAGATCCCAGTACTATGATTTGAGGACCAAAGACCAACTGACAATTAGCCAAAATGTTTCATATCTGTCGCATGATATCTATTATATCTTTATTGTCCTAGTTTACTTCCCACTTCCCTTTTTGGAATTATGTATGTGATATTCTGATGTCTCTACTTTGGTATAGAGACCTTAAGACCTTCCACTTTCCAGAAATCGTTTTGAATTCCATTACTGATTGAGGTATCATTCTATATTTAACCAGCACGCATGTTTGTTAACATGTGTGTAAATCTTATTTCTTATATAAGAGTTGTAATATCAAATACATGTATCATCTGAATATCTAACAGTTATTATAAACTGCTTCGATCAGTTCAAACTAGTCCCAAGATTCACTGGTGCCTGTGTCAATAAAAGTTGTGTAGTTTTGATTTTCTGCTTTATATCTACTACAGTAAAACGACGTCGGTTAGTCGGTACTCTATGTGCATATAAATCCCATATCAGGCTTTTAATCACATTCCTTTCGCTCGAACAACTGCTTCATATATTTACAGCGGACACAGCCAATTAAACGTACATTTGGGCACCAGAGATTGTAGAAAATGTAACAGGATTCTGTTATATTTATTACGGTTATTTTACATAAGTTACTTTACAGCATTGTTTGATCTATCATTGTACATTGTTATTCTATTTAAGTGCATTTGTAGAAATTAAAGATTCATAAAAATGTATAAGTGTAAAATTAACAAACCTATTCCAGTTAGCTCGATATGTTCCCAGTGTAAACATCTGCATATACATAATGAGTGAAGGTTTCTCTTGAGTTTACTTCAGTAACCCATGCAGCTCGCCAGAGGCGACTGGCGAGATCACGTGTATTGTGTGTGTCTATAGTTTTTACGAAATGCATCACAAAGATATATAATTAATAATATGGATCAACTGTTGTTTACCGAGTGAAACATGTACTTGTATTGCTTGTATTGTTACCAAAAGAAATGTCAACTATGTTAGTTTTGATACTTATGTTCTGTATCAGCTGTTAGAAAGCGAGTGAAACACATGTACTATTATGTATCTCACTCTTATTAAGCGGAAAAACATCAATCGACTGTCGTTGTTATATTTCCAATTAATTTGTATTCCTTTCAGCTTTTATTGAAAGAGTGATGCGTCATTAGATATTTCATTCATGTTAATTTAATATATACGTTATTCGATGTGATGTATCCGAATATAACATAAATCAATGTCATGCATACATGTATTATTTGTATAAACTGTTATAACAGGACCTGTCTCATCAATCAGGTCATCAGTCTCTGTTATACATACTTGTATTTATTTGTATAAACTGTTATAACAGGACCTGTCTCATCAATCAGGTCATCAGTCTCTGTTATACATACATGTATTATTTGTATAAACTGTTATAACAGGACCTGTCTCATCAATCAGGTCATCAATCTCTGTTATACATACTTGTATTATTTGTATAAACTGTTATAACAGGACCTGTCTCATCAATCAGGTCATCAGTCTCTGTTATACATACATGTATTATTTGTATAAACTGTTATAACAGGACCTGTCTCATCAATCAGGTCATCAATCTCTGTTATACATACTTGTATTATTTGTATAAACTGTTATAACAGGACCTGTCTCATCAATCAGGTCATGAGTCTCTGTTATACATACATGTATTATTTGTATAAACTGTTATAACAGGACCTGTCTCATCAATCAGGTCATCAGTCTCTGTTATACATACTTGTATTTATTTGTTGTTTTTTCATTAAAGAAGTGAAGTATAAAATGGTCGTTCCCTCTCTGCAGTAAATACTTACTTCTTTGCAGTTATATTAATTGGTATTACAGGTGTTAAGCCTCAGCTAGTTACCCTGTATATGTTACAGTCAGATTGTGAAATCAGGTTGTGAAATCACTAAACGTTTCAGTCATTTCATGAAATGACTAAACTTCAAATTTGTTTACTCAACTCTAATCTGATTGGATTCCTTAAACTGGCTTCAAATCTGTTGATTGAATATTCTCAAGTACTCCATTGGTTGAAATCACAACGTAAGATATTTAACCCCTACTGACCACTGCAGCTGTATCAGTTTTGAAATACAGTGTACTCAATATGGTAGACAACTCATATGTTGAAACACGCTTCAGACAGGAATTGTTTCAGAGGCATGAGATCTCACAACACCAGCTGACACATCGCCTGAAGCTGAACATCTACATCTGAATAGGAACCAAAAACTGTCCAAAAACTGCTGACAGAGACAGTTGTGGACACAGAGAAACATGTTTCCCTGAGAGAAGCTCTGCCCCAGTCATCTATGTGTGGTGGACAGGGGTCTGTGAGGCGTGGCAGCTCTGGACACAGCAAGTGTCAAACAAATAGGTGTAAATGCTTCAAAGCCAAGTTGAAGTGCAATAGTCGCTGTCACAAACGTTTCAACTGTCCAAATAAGCGATGTTGAAATTGTGATCCACGTTTATAGATTAAGTTATTAAGTCATGTTCAAGTTATGGTCCCATTAATTATGTGACATAACATGTAATTTCGTGAAGTATTATCTCAATAAAGCTTTTTATCAAATACTTGTCTGTTATTAGTCATTTTGTAAATGCAAAGTTAGTAGATCAGAAGTAGGTGTTTCTCCACCACCTGCATCACCTACCACCTGCACCAAATGCATCAGATAACTATGCATTATGCAATAACCAAAAAATATGCAAATGTATGCACGATATCATACTAGCAAAAATAGTAGTAAATACTTGCGTAACTGCAGTCACGCGGAAATGAATGTCATTGAACTGTTTGGGGTAGCGTGTCTGTTGTGACACTGTTGAATGGGTCAAGCAAATAGACACTTGACCCGGGGACAATGGGCAGTGTATCAGTACGGGTCGGATCTTTAGGAAAACACGTTCTCGTTCTCGGACTGGTTAGCGTCCATAGACGTCACAAAAGGTAGACTGGGTGTGACTTGAGAGTGTGAATGGCTAAATGCGTAATCTGCTCTATGAAGTCTGCTGAGTGAGAGCTTTTTTTCTCTTTTAACCTAAATAAGGGCGAACTACTCTCTGTTACAGAAATGACAACGGAAGTGCAATAATCTTTTTAATTTAAATTTTATTTAGAAGTACTCGTATTCATACATGTTTCAAAAATGGTTCTTTTGTCCTTTTGTATTCTTGTTATTGGGTAAAATTACAAAATGTGCTGTTGGACGGACCATGCATGTAGTCTTAAAGCTTAACACATAATGCTAATTATCTTACAACTTGGAAAATGAAGATCAACACTAAATGAGACAGCGTTTGCATTCTCGTTATTGAGTAAAATTACAAAATGTGCTGTTAAGTACTATTTTATAAAGTCACAAATATTTACATAAGATTGCGGAAAATTTGACGAATTTTAGAACTATGATAATTGTATTGACAAACTCAAGTAGATGCTCTGCAATTTATAGGAATCTTAGCGTCTCAAGTACCTAGAGTGTGAGTGAAGCGTCGATTATATACAGCTTTATTACTCGCCCATGTAAGATACTGCAGTGTAATATTTTTACGGCAGTATTACACTAGTGTAACACCGCTAAGCGTATGAAGTCATAATGGTTACAGTTATGACGTCACAGTGCTAATACATCAAAGGCATTAGACCTTACTTGACTCGAGGAAAGATGACTCAAGCTATCACACTCTATACAGTTTGTATCAATTAATGTTGGAGAGTAATAAACAGAAAACTAAACTCGCTTCCGTGAAATACTATGTTTATTAAACTCTTGAATGATTTAGCATCAAACTCGCTTTTGCTCGTTTGATACCAAATCATTAACTCGTTTAATAAATATGGTATTACACGAAGAGGCGTTTAGTATCCTCTATATCCCCTATTAGCCTTGCCCTAATTGTGAGTTTGCAACATGGAGTCGAAAGTGTCGTGTCTAGAGTGTAACTATTTACTCGTGGAGATGCGATGCTGAGACACAATAGGAAAATCTGGCTGTAGTGTAACTCAGTGGTTAAATCGTTTGTCCGTCATATCGAATACCCGTGTTTCGTAGCAGGGTGGCTATTGCATTACAAATAACTTTGTTTTCAACCCAAGATAAACATTGTTTATACCCATCAAAGTTATTTTGCACGAATGAATTGAATAATAATAATACGAGTATATTCCCGTACATTTTGTATTGTCTTAACGCCGCACTCCAATCATGACGGAGGCTTATCTATAGTAAAATTAACCGTTCACGAGTATACAAACAAGATTATGGTCCTGGGAGAGTGTGGTAGGGTCCTGTACTGTATCGTTTTTAACAGTCATGTAGTGGAACGCACTGATTCTCCTCTCAATCAGTGCTCTTCCCCACCAAGCATTTATTGTTTGTGATAAGGGTAAAATGCATGCAACACCTAGATGATAATCATTTTCTTGAAATGTTCATGGCAATCGTCAAACAAGGATTTTATCACTGCTTCTTTCAATATACGGACAGCTCCCTCGACGCCCAATCTGAATGCAAGTTTCAATAGTTTTAATACCTGTATGCACTTACTGCGAAATATGTCGAATAACGACACACTATTTCCAGTTCACTTCATAAGGACGTTCTTAACATTGCATTTACTGTATTTGTTCTAACAAACGGGGTCCAAAATATAGCACAAATTTAATAACTTATTGTTATTATTAACCTAGAAGATTTAGGCGTGTTTATGTTATAGCTGTTGCTAAGCATAATTCTACCTGAGATGGTCAAGGTCAGTGAATAAAACGGTACTTATTGGAAGCGATATCAGTCCGATATCAGACATGACCCTAAACTGGATTTAATTTAGTCTGACAAAACCTGGGACCGGTTAACGTTCAACTGTATTTTCGCGAGCCATTTTCTGGAACTGACGTACACTCTCTGGCTCGTTGATTCCACATTTCCAGGAAACCTTTGACAATTCACTAGCTATCACTTTCCTATAAACAACCAAGATTGTCATCCTCCCTATGAGCTACCATGTGATTATCCCTATATACAACAGAACACTTGTAGTTTTACGAGCGCCTCAATCGAATTACCATAAGCACTTCAGCGTGTTTTGAGACTACAACCAGTTATCAACATTTGGTTTATGACAATGAACTGAAGGAAACGTGAGTGGATGTTTCTGTTTTGCATGATATTTCCAACGAACACGTACTTTAATCCGGGTGAATGTGATACTGAATAAACTGTTTGCACTACGAGATGGATACATTCAGAAGAACACCACGAAGCACTGACGATGTGGCGGGTATAGTCTTACCTGTCTACCGTTCATATTATTCTTTTATATCTCTGATATGTGAACATAAGATCTGTTTCATTTACGAATCTATACTTATTGATGTATTAAGCTACACGGCACCTGTGAAGGGCCACCTCCTCGTGGTGGGTGCTGGGTAACGCTAAGCGCTCTTCAACCCCCCGTTGTGGACCCAGGGGCATATTTGGTCCTCCAACCCGTTTGCCGTGGGTTGCGCCCCTGTGTCGGTGGAGGAAGGGAGTCTGGTGGTTGAGGGTACTGGTTCCAGGAACAGTGTTCCTTCGCCCAACACACCACTTCGGCCCTTACTGCACCTAGACGGGTGGTTGAATGGGCCCGGTTCAACCAATCGGCTGGTCACGCCAAGCCCTGTGCATGGTAAATATTTTGCACAAATTTTGATTTGTTCCAAAATATACTGTATAGTCTTGGCGATAAATTTTTGTTGAAAACATAATTATTGAATTGTTACTTTGCCTAGAGTCCTATGCCAGAAGGCGGTGGCTCATGGGCCAATCCGGTAGGACTTATCTTTTCAAGATTTTTCCTGCTTGAGTATACCCTCCTAGTATCCTTGGTGTCGTCTGTTGGAGATCCACAGACATGAGACATCGTCTTTGTTGACACTCTATGGTGAGTGGGGAGCTAGGAGGGTGAATTTCAACCATGGCACCCCCACTAAAAAAACGTACACACGAATCTGACGATTCGTCGTCTTCAGAAGATGAAGTCCAAACAACTTTCACCAACCCTGATAATTGGCCTCGATTCCTGGTAATGTGTGCACCTGATGGAGGCCCTCTCAAGTTAAATCCCTTTGCCGTATCAAAGGGCATAGAGGGTTTGGCTGGAGAGGTGAAAGAAATCAAAAAGTTGCGATCTGGTTCCTTGCTAATTGAATGCAAGGATTCTCCGAAAAACCACATTATTAGCTAATGTTCCTGTGGAGGTGTCCCCTCACAGGACATTAAATCATAGCAAAGGCATCGTCCGTGATGTTGGACGTTGCCTTTCAGACATGAGTGAACATGACATTGTCACAGAATTACATTCTCAAGGCGTTACTCATGTCAAACGCTTCACTGCTAAAAGGAACAATGAACTCTTCCAAACAAATACCTATCTCTTCACATTTTGTGTACCAGTACACCCACAATCACTGAAAGCAGGTTATTGCAGCTTAAAGGTTGATACTTTTATCCCCAATCCATTAAGATGTTATTCTTGCCAGAAATATGGTCACGGCTCCAAGTCTTGCAACAACCCAGCAGCATGCCAACGATGTGCTGGAGCATGCGAAGACAGTACCCTGTGTGATAAAACACCTGTTTGTGTCAACTGCTCTGGTTGCCATCCCTCTTCATCCAAGGAATGTCCTTCCTGGAAGTTGCAGTAAAAATATAACGCTATATGGCAGTAATATTGCCGATGCGATGTAAAATTTTAACTCATTCACTCACTCACTAACAAACGTCCGTCTCTGATATGTGAACATAAGATCTGTTTCTTTTACAAATCTTTATTTATCGACGTATTAATCTACACAGAAAATCACACTCCTCTCACCAACCAAAGCAGACACAAATGTTATCATTTCTATTAAGTATGGAGATAAATGAAACAATACATAAACATTCAATATATGATGCATTCCATAAGAAGACGTAGAATCATGCATAACACAAGTATGTTACAAAAAGTGATCTTGTTGCTTCACATGTTAGCTTTAGTATGTGCTGATTGTTTTCCTCTTGATCAGATTCGATTTGAAGTGTAAAGCAGTCATCGATATCATTTGATTACAGAGCATTGAGCTTTGTCCTTGACCAGGATAAGGAGCATGTACACAACAGCTACCCAGTGTCATTTAAACGGACACTCACTCTGAATTACAAACACGGAAACTGATTACATTGAAAATATTAATCTGTAACAATACAGAAAGAAAAATGACCCCAAACTAAATGAAGGTAATGGACATATTATAAAATTTTCAATATACACGATTGAGGTAAATTTAGCTCCATTATTTATATACACTGCACAGTACTAGACATAAGATATAAACTGCGATTGATCTCTGTGTGGCAATCGGTCCTGGGAAGACTGGAGACTGGATAACGTTGTGTCCATGATGGCTTCTGTTATTTTTGGGTTGTCAGTGGCTGTCTTTTCCGATTGGCTCGTAGCCGGATAGTTATGACGATCATTCCCACCACAACTATGCCCGAAATACAACACACAACAATTCGCCAAACTAGCGAGAAACCAGTACCTGTGGAGATAATCAAATGGGCATGTTGTGAACTTTGGCTTTAAAGTATAACATGAAAGTGTGAAGGTGATAAATCGCCCACATTCACACATTTTCCCAAGGTAAATAAACGCAAACAAATGTTCAGTAATGCTTTGGACAAGATACAGGGGCGGTTGTAGTAACACTCACTTGTTAACATTTTCTACGAAATACCAAAAAATCACTTTATTTGAAACGTACCAGTAGGATCCAAACGAGATTCCAATCTATAGCGAATCTTGAATCTTCTGCCGAGATTGTAACTTGAATCAGACTTGAATTTCAGGTACATTGTAGAAGCAGAGCCGGTTTTGGTTGGTGTACTTTCCCCGCACCAGCGGCCAAGCGAGGGGGCATTGGAGTCAGGGCCTAACCCAAATAGAACCACACAACATATTAAGAACTTCTCTTGAATGCGACGTTACATCACAGCGTTTCAGTGTAATAAAACCTAGCACACTTACACTTTCCGATGTTTCTGAGACCTCAAAGAGACATCTTAAACGCAAAAGCGTGTTGCACAAGAAGACTTGGCCACTCTCCAAATTTAGTGCATTATTATTCCATACTGACACTTAGCTTAATGTTAGCCATGTCCCGAGTGGAGGTGGAAATAGTAAACCGAAAGCATGGAGTGATCCACCCGATTAAGTGATCACTGGTAGAGTCGTATTTAGTTGTCAATTACATTAATCACTGTACCTAAGTCGATGCTGGTAACGTGCATCCCAACATGGCGGCAGGTAAGATCGCTTCGCGATTATTTCCCTCGAATTAGCAGTCTTCCACTTGTATACAATCAAACTTATGTAGCACACTGATAAACCTTGGTGGGGCAAATACATTGAATGCGCTGAATTTGCCTATTAATGTCTATGTGTTGAAGAATAAGCACTTTTAAAATCGCGCGAGGATGTCTGGATGTCGGTTGAGTTACCGACATCCTCGCGCGATTTTAAAAGTGCTTATTCTTCATCACATAGACATTAATAGCCAAATTCAGAGCATTCACAATATTTGCACTATCAAGGTTTATCAGTGTGCTACATAAATTTGATAAGAACACAAAGTCAGTCTGATTGTATTATGGGCGAGGACCTCTTTACTGAATAAATACTGTCTGTCTGTCTGTCATAAGTTTGATTGTATACGGCTGCTCATTCGAGGGAGATAGTCGCCAAGCGATCTTACCTGCCGCCATGTTGGGATGCTGGTAACGCACGTTGCAGTTTGGTTAAATGCTGCCTTGTAGAGTACAACCAGAAATTATTGAGAATTTAAAGATTGTAACTTATTACATTTTTTCACTCATTACTCAATACGGCGGGGCATACTACTGATCAAAGAAGTTAGTAAGTCGTGGTCCATGCTGCCCCAATATCGGACCACCTCTTCTTTCATTTCAGCAATATTTGTCAGATTTTTCTTATTGACACTTTCCTTCATAAGTCCCCAAACATTTTCTATCGGATTTAGGTCAGGGCTATAGCTTAACCAATCTAATAGTGTCATATTTTGGGTCCGAAACCAGGCCTGTGAATGCTTTGAACGATGTTTTGGGTCGTTGTCCTGCTGGAAAATCCAAACATTTCCATAGAACACGTGAGCAGATAGAAGTAAATGTCCCTCGAGAATATCTGTGTACCGCTCACTGTTCATATTCCCTTCAAATACACAGAGGGTGTTGCCCCTAAAGCAGATATGCCACCCCCAACGTTAAATTTCGGGCTGTACTTTGGGACGCTGATACAAAGGTTTTTCAGTTTGTTTGGTCCAGAATTTCAGTGTATTAGGAAACAGCCACACAGAACTTTCATCTGAGAAAATCACATTGTCTCAGTTAAAATTTCTATGCTGTAAGCACCAGTTCAACCTTCGCTCCTTTTGTTCAAGTTTCATGATCGGTGATGGAATTCCTCGACTTTTCTGCCAACCCACTGCATGCAGCTCAGTTCTAATTGTCTCCTTACAGACAGCCACAGTTCCTCTATCAATCATATCCAGACTTAAATTTTCTAAACTCCTTCGTTTGTTTTTAGAAACTAGAATACCAAGCCGACTCCTGTCACACTGTCAATTTTCTTGGCCTACCTGCGCCTCCCTGGTGCTCAATGCCATATCCATTTGCAATATTTTTCAAAACACGATAAAGAGTGGACAAAGGGATACCTGTTCTACTTGAAATCACTTTAGCTGATCTGATGTCCTTGTTATAATACTCTAAACTCAACTTCCTCTTCTCTAAATCATCCATACTGAGGATCACTGAAAATGTCGTCTGCTAGCAGGTAAACAAAGGGGGATAACTCTTTACAAACTAATGAAAAAGGATTAAGGGAGTTGTCTCTCTTGAATGAAACCAAGCACTTGATAGCTTGTCAAGGTTGTTTATACTAGAAATCCAATTAAACATATTCTTAAAATTCTCAATAATTTCTGGTCATACTATATGTCAGTAATATCACATCATGTCAACCTGGTAATAGGGCAAACCAGAGTTTATGATTAGGTAAACCTGGTGTGATGATTTGGTAATCCTGGTGTTATGATTAGGTAAACCGGCTGTGATGATTAGGTAAACCGGCTGTGATGATTTGTTAAACCAGTGGTTATGATTAGGTAAACTTGGTGTTATGAATAGGTAAACCTGGTGTGATGATTAGATCGCCTGAGGGAAATGCACGAGCACGGATGTTATACTACTATATTTACAAAAGCATCCCAAAGGTTTCGTAAGCGATATGAAAGTCATGAGCCTAAGACACTTATCTACTTGGACACTTATACGTCTTTTCTGACAACGTAGTTATGAGTTATCCGTGCCAATTGTCAGCTAATTTTGTTTATACCGTCATATATTCTGTGTCATTGCTACCAGACTGTGCGTGTGGTGTCGACATGGATTTTGTTTTGTGTTTCAGGATGACAATCCAAGAGCACTCAGTACTTGTACCGTTCCTGAGTACCCCCTTAGGAGAACATAACCACCTTAGGAGAACATAACCACCTTATCATAACCAGCACACAGAACTTGTTCTGTTCGTCAGTACCCCCACAGGAGACCATAACCATCTTACCATAACCAGCACACAGTACCCGTACTGTTCCTGAGTACCCCCATAGGAGAACATAACCATCTTACCATAACCAGCACACAGTACCCGTACTTTTCCTGAGTACCCCCATAGGAGAACATAACCACCTTACCATAACCAGCACACAGAACTTGTTCTGTTTCGGTGATCATACTGATCATACTTTTAGGGATCATTTCTATAGTATGCATCGCCATGACTTCAGGTAAAACTGACAGTCTACCAAACCACGAGGACGATGGACCATGAGTATGGTGAGTTAATGTTTTAGATTTGTGACCGAATATCTTAGATTTGTGATCCGATTTATTGTATTAGAATTCTGTACCGTCATTCATTGTAACCTTGTTTATTCAATATACAATTGAGTATTATGAACACGTTTGTGTTTTATTCTACTGGTTTAAAGGGGACTCACAAGCCTTTTATCTCAGTAATTTCTAAACCGTAACAATAGTATATATCGACAAGCTTACATTCAAGTGTTAGTCACAAATTATAGTCTGGATATTCGTTGCCAGGTTACCATGTCATGCTCTACGTATGACGAAAACACGTATGCACTTTATATGAAGCTGAAAAAGATATGAATATTGGTTGCGATGTTTATAATGATCAGTCATACCATCAAACGCTTCCATATAGTCAATTCGACACCCATCAGAATTGTCTAGGATTGACTTCAGAACGGTGATTTTGATGTAGCTGTTTCTATCACCTCCTTCAATCTTCCACGTAGACTCTGTGAGCCTAAAACAAATACTTATGGTGTACCCATTGTCTGTGAGTGTGGCAGTTGATACTGTGAATTCACAGTAATAATTATCAGGTATTAGTAGTACATATTGTCACCTGAAGCTGTAAGAAGCTTATGAATCATTTCACTTCATCACCTGCTGAATACCGTACAACAACTGAAATGTGTGTTATTGAAGAATTCGACCGCTCCGAAGGCTTACATCATCGATGAGTCCATGAATACCTAGACCCACATGGAGTTAACATATAGTACTGTTGGAGCGTTTACAAGCTTTGTTCTAAGACACCATCATAATTATTTTCTTGCCTATTGACTGTAATGTTTTATAAATGACAGAACTTGTAAATGTAATCTGAGCATGTGTATGTTTTCGTTTTCCTTTTATGAGTAGTCCATGTATACTTTCATTTTATCAATAGCTGATACAAGACCATGACGGGTTGTCAGTTTGAGGTGGTTTCATCACTGCTTCTCTATCTATGTTTAAACCTCATCGTTTGATAATACATACCTTGGGCAATCGAATGGATAATTTGGCGACGTAAGAATTGTATTGTCAAAATAAGCTGAAAGAACTTCGTTCGATGAAACTGAAATCAAAATATACATGAAACTGAAATAACGAAAAGATAAATTGTATATCTAAAATTGTGCACGGCATCATAAAATCGCTGTTCTGTTCCTGCAATGTGCACGTATCTGTAGTGCGTCTTGACGGTGAGGTATACCTCTATCGAATTTGTACAGCATATGCCCTGTCGGATTCAAATGTTGAGATCTTGAAGGTCATTTCATTAAATCGATAGAACAGAGGAAGACCTCAAGAAATGTTGTAGGATCATGAGTAATCCAACGACTTGGAGGTCCCCTGGTCGTGGAGTTGGTTGAGATATACCTTAAGGATTACTTAACCAGAAATGAAGTAGGTTGGTTGGTTGGTTAGTTGTTTAACGCCGTACAAAGTAGTATTCCAGCTATATGGTGGTGGTCTGTAAATAATCGAGTCTGGACCAGACAATCCAGTGATCAACAGCATGAGCATCGATCTACGCAAGTGGAATACGATGACATGTGTCAACCAAGTCAGCGAGCCTGACCACCCGATCCCGTTAGCAGCCTCATACGACAAGCATGGGTTGCTAAAGATCAATTCTAGCCAGAGTCCCAGAAATAAAGTCTACTCATTCAACACATTAAATCATTTTACAATCATGAATACAATTTTTACTACCCCAAAGGAATTTTGGTGTCATGCATAAACATGTTGAACATTGCACTCGGTTACTCTGTTGGTAAGACAGGATCCACTGCTGAATGAAATGGATTAAAACATTAAGCGACCAAATCTTTGTTTAGGAAAAAAAGCAACCCCAACTTTGTATTTGAAAAATAATAAAAACGATGATGATCGTTTGAAAATGAAACAGAAAATACAGCTGCTGCAGAAATATTAAGACGATTGGAAAGCAAATGTATAAACTTTGGTTTAATGTGTATTTTGACAAGACAACATATTATTAGATTGTCTCGTACTTGCATGATTCATGGCATAAACCAGGGAGACTCTATAAGGGGGAGTGGTCACTCCTCGGAAAGCTCCTAAGCTATGCCTCGGCTCGCCACGTGACCAGTGCAGCCAATATGGCGGCAGCGTAGTTTTTAAGATTGAGCCCGGTTTATTTTCAACAGCTGATTACATACGCTGAGTGTTGTGACAACTGAAAACCTACATGTAGAAGATAAGTTACCTATTCTGTCACTTCATTTTAAGTCAAATACTTGTTATTAGTGTCAGTATAAGTACAGTAGCTTTGTAGTAAAGTTTCAAGTGGGCATGTTGTAGCTCACTGGCTTCAATTCTCAGTACACAGCGAAGAAAGACTAACTTATATCGCTAAAAACTTCTTTCACATATTCGTTTAATTTTTAGAAGGGAAATATACCTTTTGTTTAAAGGTGTTTGCAAGTAATAGTGATATTTTTATAACTAAAACAAATTTGTTAGGGTGTATTTGAGGTGTGTGAAAAATATGACATATCGCCGATCTGCCATTGAAATACTACAGGGCGTTGTTTGAGTGTTTCTAGTTAGTGTTCAAAAACATCTTTCACATACACCTTCAATTTTTATGAGGGGAATATACCATCAGGTGAAAGGTGTTTGCAAGTAATAGTGATAGTTTTATAATTTAAAAAAATTGTTAGTGTGTATTTGAGGTGTGTAAAAAATATGACATATCGCCGATCTGCCATTGAAATACTACAGGGCGTTGTTTGAGTGTTTCTAGTAAGTGTTCAAAAACATCTTTCACATACACCTTCAATTTTTATGAGGGGAATATACCATCAGGTGAAAGGTGTTTGCAAGTAATAGTAATAGTTTTATAATTTAAAAAAAAATGTTAGTGTGTATTTGAGGTGTGTGAAAAATATGACATATCGCCGATCTGCCATTGAAATACTACAGGGCGTTGTTTGAGTGTTTCTAGTTATTGTTCTAAAACATCTTTCACATACACCTTTAATTTTTATGAGGGGAATATACCATCAGGTGAAAGGTGTTTGCAAGTAATAGTAATAGTTTTATAATTTAAAAAAAAATGTTAGTGTGTATTTGAGGTGTGTGAAAAATATGACATATCGCCGATCTGCCATTGAAATACTACAGGGCGTTGTTTGAGTGTTTCTAGTTATTGTTCTAAAACATCTTTCACATACACCTTTAATTTTTATGAGGGAAAATACCATCAGGTGAAAGTTTTTTGCAAGTAATAGTGATAGTTTTATTTTATTTTTTTGTTAGTGTGTATTTGAGGTGTGTGAAAAATATGACATATCGCCGATCTGTTCTGATACGCCATTGGTGCTTGTGATGCTTGAGTGTTATAGTTCTAAAACTTCTTTCTTTCTTGTTGATCTTAGTATTTGACAAAACTGGAAAGGTGTTTGCAAGGCTTTGTGATAGTTCTAAACTTTCTGTTCTTGAGGGGTCTGTGACAGTGTCAGTTAACATTCTGTCAATGCCCATGTCATTCCACACATGCAATAAGATATCTGAATTAGTTACTAATGTAAAAAGATGTCTCAAAGTAGATTTTTTATAAAAAGGACAGCTGATGTTAACATGTGTTCTACCGATAGTTTTGCTTTCTTTAACATGTTTGGGGAGGGATGGCCGTGGTGTATCATTTATTCTTTTATTCATTCACATATGTTCTTTTTCTTTTGTTCTTTTTCTTAATTTCTTTCATTCATTCACATAAAATTCTTGCTCTTAATTCATTCATTCATTCATTGTAAAATTCCGACCTATACAATACACTGGCTGAAGTACTGTTAAACGCAGCCCAAGTTGCGCTGGGACCGAACCAAGTCACTGTGTGCGTTGGAGCATGACGAGGCACACGTTAATTAGTACAAATGGTAAAGAAAGCAAGCGAGTGACCTATCCCTGTTGTAGAGTATCCCTGCATAAACTCATCACTACTCCAGTATTACCCTTTGAATGGAACCGTATGACATGGTGGGCCCAATATTACAAGAAGGAAAACGGTTTCACTTTCTCGAGCACGGCACTGAGATTCTGCTTTATGTTAACTCAACGAAGATAGTCCAATACATTCGGGTATCTGAAGTTGGTTATGAAGAGTTGCTTCCCTTAGTTTTGATTATCCGATAATCACAAGTTTGAATCTTTGATTCACTTGATTGTGAGTTTTGTTTTTCAGCACCAGCAAAATGTTAAATATCCAGAAGGTGCTTTAATTTGGTTTCTCTACTAACTCTAACCTGACAACACTGTCACAAATGTGAAATGTTCCAAACGTTGTTAAACCTACATTGATTTCAGTCTACAGCATTTTACATTACCATTGAAGTGTCCAGCCCTGATATACAGCTGTAATCCATCATATCTCCAGTCTTCGATGTGCACTCTGACGGTGATGATATTTCCTGAACTGATGTATTGACTGCTAAATATCCCACACCACTTCCCAGGAGTAGTGGAGCCATTGTTACCTAGAGTATTGATGCCTAGATGCATAAAAGAATCAGTGCAAATAATAACATTAAGGATAAGTGATACAGTTGTTGGTGGAATTCTAAACTTCATACTTAATACTCATTACTGTTAACTTGTTATACATTTTAGGTACACACAAATGCTTAAAAGTGGTAAACTACCTGTAGATGTAAAACAATTTGCAAAGCAAAGTGCATACTTTCATTTTCGATTCTGTCGTTGTTGATACCAATTGAGACGTTTGACATCTGCATGACACTCTTGTGTAATAACAAAAAGGCGAACGTTAACTTTAACAGAGTCTGGGAAAACTGTTACTGATGAAAACTGTATCAAGAATACAAAGTTGTAATATCGACCAAAGAAGATCTACGATCTCTTTGCAAGACACGTTTTAGGCGGTGATTATTTGTAAATACGAGCGTCATTCTCACAGATAAACCTCACCATCGTAAAGTTCAAGGTAAGACGAATGACATGGTGGTCGGATGATGGGACCTTCCACGTTAGTGATATCAACCTGAATGTTTGTGTTTGTTGGTGCATGTATAGTCCAGTGGCAGTCTTGTATACTAGAATATTAAAATATCACAATCTTTTAGACATTTAGACATTTTGCGCTATTTTTAGTATATTACATTATTAGTATATAACATAATCTAAACCAACAGATTGATTTTATTTCAATAGTATATATATAAACTAAAAATAAACATGGTCTTACCCTCCATATGGCCCTCCCAAGATTGTATCCTCATTTGTGGTAACGTTGACTATTCCTCCGCACCTAAATGTCTCTGAAAGAGTGAAGCCATTTGACTTTGAAGCGGGTATCAATATCATTGTGCGCATGTATTGAATATTACTCATACATACCAACTAGAAAATTTTGAGAACGATGGATGGTTTCATGGGATTACCATCATATTTATATACTGAATGACATGTGATCATAATGATTGTGACTAATTTGAACACAAACGTATGCTTCTTACCATTTGTTTCCAAATATTTCAGTTTGAAGCCTCTCTTCTCATTTGAATTCTGTGTAGTGAACTGAACTGTCATAGCTGGTCCTGTACTCTGGAGACTCGGCCTTGACACACCACACCAGAATAATATCGTATTACTAAAGACGGAAGGTCCTGGAACAATCAAGCAATGGTATAAGCTAAGACCGAGTTATATTTGACCAGAAAATATTTTATTTACGTGCTTCTTAGAAGTATGCCGAGAGAGTACAATAAATGCTAATTCACCACGGAGTGCACTGACAATGTACGTCTACATTCATGTTGCATATAGAGACATATGAGAACATTTAGAAACTTATCACATTGTAGTGTGTACGAAAACGGGTACAAAAGCTGAAAACGGATGAGTGAGTCACGTGTGTGATTTCTGTTATCGTTACGAGTTATTTGGTTGGTTTTTTTTGTTTTATTTTACTGTTTGGATGTCAGTTGAAAAACTCATTTCAATCATTTGAAGTCAGTAATGTGACTCAAATAGACCAGCTAATATCAAGTCTTAAGCAGTGGCTATAGTTACTTCCCTACAAACAATTTCACGTTGGCGCAACGTTCAATCAATCTTTTTTTCAGTACTTAAAAGGCCACAGGCCTGTAGTACATTTAGAGTTTACATGAGTAGATAGAAATCATTTATAAATTCTTTTCTGTAACAATACTTTTTCTTAATCTCATAGCGAAATAGATGTACATTGCCAGATTCTGTAATATTGATGTGGTAGTATCTGTTAATAGTGGAATTAATGTTCTTACACTTGGATGTTTATAATAGTATGGCTTTAGGTATTTTGTTCGTAGAGTCGTATAAGCAGGACAGATTAGAAGAAAATGTAGTTCATCCTCAACAGTACTCATATTACATAACTGACATATTCTGATTTCTCTTTGTATACCTGCATACCTGCCAGTTTCAATAAATAATTCATGGGAAGAGCAACGAAAACGAGAGAGAGCTATACGGAACTTCTTTACGCCGATTTTTGCTAAATAGTCTTCAAAACGTATGTCCGATTTCCATTGGTTATAGTATAAACATTTTGTGGATAGAAGTAGTGATTCCGACCAAGCCTGGAAATAGATATCTTTCATTCTTTGTGTAAAGGATATGATAAAATTGGTATGCAACTGAACATTGTGATCACACCACACATAACCATAACCAGTTTTGTACAACAACTCCCTTGGCGCAACGTTGTCACAACATTATGCTTTCGTTGTTACAACGTTAATCTGTGTAATCCTATTTACGTTATCCCAACATTGTGGCCTGAAGTTGTGATACGTCATTTTACGTCGCCTAAAGCTAAAGTTATTTGATGCTAACGTATTTTACGTTGTATTTAACGTAAATAGTTGAATACTTTTCCCTGTAGTGAACAGTATATAAGAAACAAAGCAGAAATTCACCTCAATGTTTATTCGTCAATGAGCATGTTGGTTTAGTCATGGGTTTTCTGAAGATGTAGCTGAATAGTGAAGACATAATCTCAAAGTGAAAAGTTTTACAGAAAACTCTATCGTGGCAAGTTATGAGAAACGTTGTTTTAACGTTGCGAGGAGCCCAAAGCATAACGTTTCCTGAACGTAAATTTGCAAAGTTGCTGTAACGTTGTGACATAGCGTTATAAAATGACGTAATATACTAACGTTGTGACAACGTTGTGTCATGACGTTACCAATCTACAACCTTCCCACAACGTTGTGAAAACGTTGTGTGCCAGCTGGGTTACCATTGAAGGCTGTGACGCGGCTATCTTTGCAGCTGAGGTAATCGAATGACGTCTGTACGTCCGAGTCAATGACGTCGATGCGCACCATCATTTGAGGTTCAGACGCCGTGATTACCCAAACACAGTCTAACCCGCTGAAACCAAGAACTGCCAACTGGATGTTATGTCGTTTATCTTTAATGTTTATTTCAATTTTAACTATAAACCTTGTGAGCGCTTTAAGATTAGATGTGATGGTCTACAATGTGTTCACATCCGTCTTAGTACATTTGACCTAATTTTGTCTAATATTCTTCGTGAGTCGGGTTCAACGCCTCTTTAATAATTGTAAAGCATTCCACTTACATCATGTTTATATGAACACCAACTGATGTTAAAGATTTTGATATATTTCTAGTATTTGGGGCTTTTTCTTAAAGCAAGTTATACATTCATAAGAAATATAAGTTAAGAAGTGTTCACTTACTTCTGAGTTATCGCAGGGTATCCTGGAGACTGGAGAAAGTTTGGATATGTAGTTGCATTGAGAAATCGTGGACCACAAACTTTAGCAGGAGGAGGAAGCACTGAAACATTCCAGAATGTGCTTTTCATGATATTTAAGGTGTTTCATCGTTGTCTACAAAAATTAGAATGCTAGATTAACTACATAGTGAGTGTTTGGGTTTTTTTACATTCCAGGCCTACCAATCTCTCAAGCAAGGGTTTACCAAAGGTCACTTACAACCTCTAGCAGCAAAGCACATACCTCTACGTGAACTGGGAGACAATCGGAGCCGGAAGCCCGTTCCGCTGGTATCACTGCCAGTTTTGAATACCAATTTCATAATGTATCCATTAGAATAGTAGGACCAACTGGAGATGTTGACGAATTTCCACAAAATTCTCCGATAATGACTTCTCCATCACTAAACGCTGGAAGAGACAAATGGAAATAGGATGTAACATTTCTGTAATGAACTCTCATGCGTAGATCGTCTCCGTCTCCGTCTACCTTCCGGTCATCTAATAATTAATGATCACATCACAGACGATAGATGATGACTTGACATAAAATGATTATATTTCCATATGCAGTTGTCTGTATTTTTCAATAGTTGACTGTTTATGTATTAGTTCAAGTGCACCGACAGTTCAACTGATCTGAAACAGCTGTTGGTTCCAGATTTGGGTTTACTTACTGTCGGGAATATCTATTTTGTTTACAAAATACACATTAGTTGAATACTAATACTGAATACTCGCGGACACAACTGACAAACAAAGCATACGCAACCATATTAAAGACCAATATACGTTCACATTTGCCACTGCGTAACTTTGTCCTTATAGACAAATATTTACAAGCGTAGTCGTAGTCGAAGTCACACTGTTTTGTAAAAATCCGAAATATTGACATCGTGCAGTAGGTTTAGCTCTGACAAGGCAGCGTGCGTGGTCGTGCTGCCCCTTGGAGTTGCTGGAAACATTACGTGTCTGACACAGAAGATCGGACCCCAGTCGGGGGATAGATGGCCTTTAACGTGCATACATGTCACAAAAACATTATTTATAAAAATGGGGTAACAGCAGAAGTTAGCAAGTTTTATGGATTTTTACTGACAGTAATGGACAGGTATAGATACTGATCCGTATCGCACACCGCTATCTCCAGGTCACAATCACACAATCGATACAAGTGTGTTCAATAAAAATTGAAAAATGTATGTACGACATAACAGCTCTATCACTTACTTGCGGACAGCGTTACAGAGTCATCATGACATTGGGGGTAGTTGCCCTCTATGTCTGAAGATATGACGTCAAGCCTCATGTTTCGTAGTTTCGTCCCAAACATATTAATTTCCAACATTATGACGCAGTCAAGATTGCTGAAAAAAGTTTGCATCGTATCACGCAGTCGAAAGTTCAAACAGTAACGGATAATGGGTAAAGTGACTTCAAATGGGTTTTTGTAACATCATTATTCATATCACAGATGCACAACAACATTGTGCATACATAATGCTGAGAAGTTGAAAAACAGAATTGATATACATATGTATATCACTAAATAAGCCTTATTTGCATGCACCCCTTTGCCCCTGTCGTAAAAATACTCATGGGGTCAAAAGAGGTACAGCAGGTACAGGAATGTGCCAAACATATTCTGTGGATTATTATTTTACGCCTGTTTTAACAATATTCCAGCAATATCACCAGAAATGGGCATTTGTTTGAGTGGCATTTTAGAAGTTGAGACGTACAATATAGAAACAAATTTTATGGTTAACAACTCCTTTATTTCGCGAGTGCGACGTTTCGATACAGATTCTTGTACCGTTGTCAAGTAGGAGTGATGACAACGGTACAAGAATCTGTTTCGAAATGTCGCAAAATTTGTTCTATATTGCTTCGCACATTGTCCCCATGTGGGAAATTGAACCCAGGTATTCTTTGTGACCAGCGGGCGCTTTAACCACTAGGCTTCCCCACCTCTGTGGATTAAATGTTTAGTAACGGGTTAGAATATTTTGTACAATTGAGGTATTGGCGTTACAAAACATTACTCTTAAAATATTACCTTGTCTGAATTCTGCAAGATCTCTGAACACATATTTAAGCAGTTTGTTGTCGGAAATATTGTGTTCAATTATATATTAACAACATTACTATTGCACCAGTATAACTGAATCAGTTAAAGCTGAAATACCACTGGCATTAATGGTGTGATAATTTCCTCAACCATACGACGAAAGTACCGTTGAAGATTCAGCAACCCATGTTGGTCGTAAAATGAGTCTAATGGGATCGAGTATTCAGGCTCGCTGACTTGGTTAACACATGTCATTGTATTCCAATTGTGTAGATCGATGCTCATGCTGTCGATCACTGGATTGTCTGGTCCAGACTCGATTATTTGTAACAGACCGCCGCCATATACCTGGAATATTGACACCCATGAAGATGCTCACTGGATTTTCTGGTCCAGAGGTTTCATTACATACCGCCGTCATATAGATGAAATATTGTAGCGATAATCAACTACAAAAGAGACATTAAGGTACACACCTCTAGATGAAGCATATTTTGTAAACACATCACTGTTTAGTTCAAATGTTGCCAGTTACAAAACTTACATGGTTGTGAATGAGATCGCAAGGACCATGGCAATGAATCCATGGATTTCAAGCAGGTGTACCCTTGGAGATACAGGTGTACAGAGGTAAGCCAAGACTTACCTGGGATAAGAATCGGGGTATCCAGGTGACACAATGTATATGCCGTGGTGCCTGTTGTTCATCACTATAGTCCCATTGCAATTGCCCTCTGTATAAGACATTTGGAAATTCAATTATGATGACACACCTCAACATTCGTGCTGATTATGACATTATACTTAAAACGGACAGTGACGTCTTCAATACATGATATTGTTCCTGTTCATCTGAAAATGTTGATTAGCAGATTGTGTTGAGCTTACAAATTAACGTAAGCATTCGTGTTTATTCGTTTTCAATATATACAGGTTATGAGGTTAAACGTATCAAATACGATGTGTCGGCTGACCTGTCAACGTTCATATGTCACGATTTGCCGTAATCCAGACGTTAAATGACAACTTTACCAGGTAAAGTGAGATTAAAAAGGTGTTAATGAAAAATTTGTCAGATGTTATTATATATACTGCACGCGAATTTTTGTAATGATGTTATTATGAAAACAATGTTATTCCACTTTGGAATGTATCATATATTTACATTTAAGATAAGTATGAAAATAATTTCATGAATCACATCCGGTTTCCATTCAATTTTCCACTGTTATCCAGAAATGACCCTGGCCGTGACCAGTCTTCGTTGACCGTATTCCGCAGTAAAAAATACAGTTTCACAATGTTTCACATGGGCGTAGCTACCATTATAAAAAAAAGCCCGGGCTTAAACATGATTTTTGCTATGAAAGTTGGGCAAGCCCTCAATACTATCTAAATATAAATCTTTGAAACCTATCGGGCTTACACGAAAAACTGGCTAGCCACGCACCTGTTTCACGACTTTTTCAGAGAATTAACACACATTCAATTCAAAACAGTAAAGAAGAGACATGGTAAATCTTAAACGATGGCCAGGTACATGTATGGGTGAGAACGATAATCCAGATTACCTGGTCTCGCAATATAGTCCATCTCGAAGCCTTGCCTAGTTATGTAGCCATCAGTTGTAAACTCTATCAACAGTGAATCCTTTGAACTGTAATATCCAGGTTGAAACATGAGTTGATCCAGATCACCAAGAATTTGGTCCTCTGAAGTACAAGTTCAAATGCATCAGAAATCCGTCGTCTACCATTGGCAGTTGATCAAATATTCGCGGCCACGTACATTTATATATCATGACAGATTTTATGTTGGATATATTTGAAAGATTGTGTATCAGAGTAAGGCATCTATTTGCCAGCGGACAAAGATATGAATCTAACCAATTCAACCACCGAGGCTTCCACTCAAATGAAAGAGTATATTGCGTACTTTGAGTACCCCTCTGACAAATGGAAATCGCTCACAGGGCCGACGTAATGGATACATAAATGCCTCTTCAGCCATAGGGGTTGTGCCTAGAGGTACACAGAGTAAATATGCTACATGTTGCGACTAAATCTATGTGCTGAGTCTGTGGTGTGTGAAATTGAGACATTGTCTCTTTCTAATTAGTCAATGTCCTCTATTTGGATTGGGCGACTAATAAAATATTAGTTTACCTTCAGTCAAGTGAAGGATCTGTGCATCATGGCTACATTTACTTACAAAGGAGGTTTTGTTCACAAACCAGACCAAAATATAAAACGAATAGGAAAATGCTCTTACTTACTGCAGGTCGCCACGAAACCTCAAATGATATAAACATCACCTGATTTAAACAACACGTTATGACAAAAGGGCCTTTGTACTGGTCAAAGGTAATAAGCCCTTGAAACATGTTGAGACATGAGTGTCTCCATAGGAAAGAGATTTAAAGACGCTATATGCCTGTTTGTCAAGCAGTGAATGTGTACCCGGTAGAATGAGATATCACTACTATAATGCCAGATAGTGATGCCACTGTAATAGGCTCTGGCTCTGTATAAATGGAATTATCTTACCTCACACATAAATGTCGTTTTCTGATTGGCTGAGCGCTCTTCTATTATTTTCAATAAGCGAGTAACATTGTTCCATGTACCCCGCTCTGAATGCCGAACTCATTGGTACTTTGTGGTAGTAATTCTTTATCTCGAATAACATTGAATCACGTATGATGTACGGAAATGTTTTGCGAGTGCTAATCGATGAAAGGGAGATAACTCTAAATCTGTTTTTCTTGTCTGCAAAATCTAGCGATGGCTACAAATACTTCACCCGTGCTTCAACCCATGTTCCCCTCGTGACCAGTGAACAACTTATAATGTTATTGTTAACATTTTATGTAAACTTGTCATTTACATGTCTTTATAGATAATTACTGGCCTGGTCCCTCTTTGACATACAGTTTACAAATGTAATAAAATTCAATACTATTATAGAAATATTGTGTAAAATGCATGGAATGTACCTTCAGTTGTGTTTCCATTAAATACACGAACTATGTTGCCACCCAACATGAGATCAAAAATACTCGCAGCAACAGTGTCGTTTTCATTTTCAGCTGTTATAATCCATATGCACCTCAGATTACTGAAAAGGAATATACAGAATACTCATGTACCCTGCAATCATGGCCTGCGGTGAGCTGTAAGTTACTAGTGGCATGTTAACTATAGGAATTTATTGTCTGCAAATTATACAGTATATTTTGGTATTTCCAGCGACAGGAAAACCAGCTCAGACAAACGCGTCCAGCATAGGTCATAAACCTGAACCCGCATGGTCAAACCGCCAATTGCTTTAATGAAATCCAGTGGCACAAATTTCATGCACGCTTAACAGCTCATTTCACTTCCGTGAAAAGTACACGGACTGGTTTCATTTGGTTTTCATCACAAACATACGTTACATGATTACACGTCATGCTCCACAGGATGTTTCGTGATGCCACGGTGTCCAGTATTACCTGATACTATGTAGTCTCACAAGTGTATGATATAATGGTATATTTAATTATCGTTCCGGGATGAAATCTGAACCTCTTTCCTCGATGGATGGAAGGTCGGATGGATGCATGGATGACGGTATGTGGAGGTTAAACTCACTTCCTAAAGAAACAGAAGAGGGCACCTTTGTTGCCAATTTTACTGAAAATGTTCATGGACTTGCGTGGGCTTTCTTGGATATATTTGCTTCAGGGTCTGTACGAGAGACTACTTTGTTGCCAATGGGAATGACTACTTTCCCTCTGCGCGTACGTGAGTGCATGACAACAAGAAGGAACTGACTTACTTGAAGTAGGTGTAAGGATACCCCGGGAATGTGAAGTTCCGTTTATCTGATGTGGCTGTTAACATTCCACCGCATCCTGCAAATGTTTTACTCTTTGATGTGATCTTATATACGACTGGACTAGTTGCCGAATAAGGTTCTATACCGTAATCTGCCATGTTAAAGTTAAAATTCTGTTTGCATTATCGTTGGTGGTCATATTTAACCGACATTGCAGACTTAGCGCAACGATCATCGTAGGCCATTGTCAAGGTATTGGAGATATGATTGCCTTAGAGAATGGATCGCTTTGTGAAAACCTTTTAGAATTCAAATCCATGACCGTATTGAATGACATACTCTGAGAGTGAGTGAGTTAATATTTAACGTCTGGCAGAATATCGGTACTCTGAGAAGGTGACGGATCAAAATATTTAATTAATAGCCTAACATGGGCGTAAGCTGGCAAATAGGTACGG